GACGTTTTCCCCTATTGTGCTTCCTACTGGCTTCTGACTTGCTATTTGGAATATAATCTTTTTCCTGTTCAACCGTGTTCTGATTTGGGGACTTGTCGAGTGAATCGGTGTCCGAGAATACTAAGCAATAGGAATAGCTGGGTCACATAACCGTAAGAAGAATCAGAGATTATAACAGTAAGTAAATAATCATGTAACTATACTAATTTGTCTGAATTAGTTCAAATCAAATCAACCATTTTTAACTCATTTTAATGAATCTGTATTGATTATGTATGTCTATGACCTTAACTAATAATGTATGTTTCATGAAACAAATACTTGGAAACATTCATTAATTATTATTCAATAAATGATTTCAACTATTCTATGTCTAATATAAGAAGTTTGTAAAGACCTAAACATTTACATCAGTTCTAATTGTGATCTGATTTAAACTAGATCACTAATTAAAAATAAAAAAAACAACAACTGGGTGACTGTTTCGTCCGAGTAAAAGCCTCATCAGTAGTGCTAATTTATAACCATAGCAGAGGAGATTGAACTTAAGGCTTTCAGTCTTGTACTGAACCCTTAACGTCTAGATTAAAAGGTTTATTAACTTTAAGATTCGATTATTGAATTTCTAAAGAGAAATTATGATAAATAGAGATCAACTATATTGGATATGATACAATTACCTAACACAGGTAATTGAACATGATCGTGTAATATCGTAAATTGATTAGGGTAAGTAAGATATAAATACAATTCATTAGTCACTCATCGGTTTAGAGATTACGTGTTCGACTAGAGACCTGAAGTTTTGAATTTGGTTCACCATAATGATATCATGCTTGTTCACTGATGAGGAATTCCATAGTACTTCGAAACATGTTGAATGCAAGTCCATTTCATTGACTAGGCAATGGATCAATTTTCTAAGGATTAGGGTGCTATATATATATATATATGAATGAGTATTAGTACATTTTAATCGGTTGTACAATACACTTTCTCGCTCAGTCTTGCATTCTCGCTCAAGTAGTCAGTTGGAGGGCTAGCGCGTCACAGACCGTATATCAGTGTCAGATTTCGGACATTACTTAGTACAACACTGTGCATCACCGAACTTTCACAGTATTCTTTGATGACTATTGTGCCACAACAATGAACCTACAGAATCAATAGTAGTTCTCTGAAGGTTAATCGTCCATGTTTCGACAAGCATACAAGATAACCTACCCTACTTACTAGATACACCTTGTCATGAATATTTTATATCCCGAAATAAAAAAAACATGGTCATAAAGAGATAATTGAACATGTAACGATAACGTAGTCAAAACGCTCAACTGCTGGAGACTTCCATGGAAATATGTTTTTGCTATATCCCGATAAGAATAATGAATAGTAGCTTTTGGGATCCATTTATGGACCAATACTACACGTATATTTTTATCGTATAATTGTTAAATAACTAAACTATTCATATTCATATCCCTCTTATTATAAGCTTTATTTTGACTTATGAACTATTATGATACGACTTACCATTCTTGAGTTATGCCCAGTCTATCAATTACTACCTCCCACATTCACAGCCTATTTTGGTTAGATCTTGTACAAATGTTGTTTCCTATTTTATGGTACGATGTAGTCTGTCTGGTTGGTAATATAAACTCAGTATGTTTGAAATAAATGACGGCTGAGATTGGTATTCTGGACTCTAACAGGCTGGTCTAGGCGGAGAGCAGGACCAATAAAGACTCTAGACTACTTGTACATGTTTTATGTGTCATTGGTCACAAGTTATAACAATTTTACACAATTGAAGCTGAGTTGGTTACTTGTATAGTAACAAACGAAAATAAATTAGATCAATGTAATTGTGTAAAACATAACATTCTTACAATCTTAATTCGTTAATTGATTGACCAGAGTGGTACATGTTTAAATCAACTACACGTAACAGTAAGTCAAATTTCACTACTAGTTTAATCAATCAAAAGGGTGAATTATTCAAAGTTTACCTACTTAGACATGATATTGTAGTTCATTTTTCTTAATGATTATTTAAATCTACTCCAGGACTCGAACCCAGTACCGTTCGATACAAACTCCATCACGTTATTCAATTGTAGTTCTAAACATCAATGGGATAATTCAAATAATCAATACAACAATGAATTAAACTTGATCTCATTATCTAAGCTAGTGGCAATCTGGACTCAGTAATAGAGTGGATAGTACGAGGTTCGAGTGTATGAGTGAACACTAACTGAAGGATGCAGATACAACTAGCTGACGAGTCCTAAATAGGACTAAATAGAGTCTTGGATTCCACTAATATCCACCATCATCATCTCTGATGATAATATTGTGATATTTACACTCAATAACAATCCAACAAATCTATGCTTTAAGTATTGGGTTTAAAAGAGATTATGGAGTTTTCATTGTTTAATTGACAAACTGGTCTTAGATAAATAACCAATAAAAATTCGAAATCATTAAATAGCTGTTCCATTCTGGAATGAGATTCTTCATCAGTGAACAAGCACGATATCATTATGGTGAACCAAATTCAAAACTTCAGGTCTCTAGTCGAACACCTAATCTCTAAACCGATGAGTGACTAATGAATTGTATTTATATCTTACTTACCCTAATCAATTTACGATATTACACGATCATGTTCAATTACCTGTGTTAGGTAATTGTATGGGATGGGGTGGCTAACTCCATGCCTACTTCTTATTGTTTGTCTAGACTTGAGACGAGCAGTAGCCTCATAGAGGCTCCAGGAGGAGTATTTTTTAAGTATTCATCTAATTACTTATACTTTGGAAATTCCTTTAGCCTTAGTAAGGATGTGACTGGCAAGATCTCAACATAAATACTATAAGTTGGTTTGATTTTTTTTAGTTCTCAAATGCCTTGGCATGGTCGAGAGTGGGGAGAGTTAGCTCTCCCACTCCAAATACTTTCACACGGCCAGAAATATATATCCCCTACCAGAGAAGTCCTACTAACTGCCTTCTCATGACATCACTGTTGTTTACGAAACTGAGAGGTTGTGAAGCGAATGTTTGGCGACTAAACTGGGTTGGTAGATATAAAGTTGGAAAACCTTCATTTCAGACTGATTGTGTACATCGACTCTAGTATCCCGAAAGAACAAACGGTGTATGAACTTATTGTTAGTCACTGTCTACCATGTGAATGCATCTTCTGATGTTGCTCCACTTCCTCGCCGATCAAACCATTAGGTCAAAGGCTCCGGTTGTGGCTCTTTAAGTAAACTATGCGCATCGATCTGGGCAGCCGGCCAGTATCACAGCCCACACACAAGCCAAGTGATTTATGTGGTGCTTATGTGTTTGGTGCCCCTTGTACCAATATTTATATGTTCAAATAAATAAATAATAAATAATGTAGTCTATGATGATAAATACAAACAGGTATAATAACTATTTGGATGGTTATTCTTTCAAAGGGTAGTTTTCAAACATCTAGCCATCTAAGTTCAATCATACTTTACATAAAACTCAAGTTAAAGATATGAACTATTAGATGCTAGCTCAATAATCTGAATTGAATAACATGGTGGCTTTTATATTAGAAATTATGAGTTTTATCATTGTTCGAGTCGAGTGCCAGTTTGTGTTTCGGCGAAAACGGGTGTCAGCCAAGCGTCAGTATCACCATCAGAAGTTTATAGCCAAAGTAAATAAACATCGTAAGAAGGAGGGAAAAGACCCATTGCTTAGATTAAGGACTCTTAAACCAGAAAAAGTAGCGGAGAAATCCAAAGCACAATTTCCGCGTAGTTATGTAACACAACAGGAGAAGGGGAAGCTACGTCTGCGAGAAACGAAGTGCTTCTCTCAACACGTTCGGATGATTCCTTCCAGTATACAGCTGATTCGGGAACAACGGATCAGAATAGCCTATCGAGTCTCTGAATTCTTGATCCTTCGTTCCGTTCCGAATAAGCCGAATCAGTAGTAGCATTCAAGCTTAACGAACCTAACACAATTGTTCCAAATTTATATACTAGAACGAATCCGTCAGTAAGCATCAGCTCCCTGAAGATTACAGGTACACCTTGTTGACTAGTGCCAAATAGCATGCAACCTGAGTTCAGGGTTTCCTGTTGACTACCTCTAACCACTATCGTATCTCAACATAATACATGCAATTTCGAGTCAACTAGATTGGTGGCCACATTGCAACTTGGTTGATAAGATTCGATCTTCACTAGGAAGGACCTGACATGATTAATCAATTGTAAATACTGTTTATGATCTTTCTACTTAAAATACAATGACGTCAAAATTGCATAATAAGAAATATATTACTAATAAGTAGTTCATCTTTTTTAAACTAAATAACCAATGGAGTCCTATTGGGTCTGTTGTGAGATAACAGCTCACTGAAGACAATGGTGTACGGTGGTGCAATCTCATGGATTGGTTAAAGTTAGGTATTAACACCGTTGGATGCCGGCCAGCTCAGTGGTCTGATAGTTAAGCGCTCGCGCATGAGGCTGATAGGTCCTCGGTTCGAATCTAGCCGGGTGAGAAGGGGGCGGGATCGTGGATTCGCACTTCTTAGGAGTCCCACAATTGGACGAAACGACCATTCACTGCCTCCAGGTTTTCCATGGTAGTCTAGCTTCAATTGACTCATGATGTGAACTATCGAAATAATTATTTGTTTGATAAGGATTCATGAAATCACTTAAAACATACATACTCATTAATCACTGAAACTAAGAAGAAACAATTACCCCCCTCCACCCCACCCTATAGGTGTATTTCTCAGAAACAAAGTACACCCTGTTTCAATATTAGAATGATTTGATTTTACTTTCAATACATCAATATAATATTGTACAAGGGTAAAAAGAAGTAAGAAGACAAGTTAATCATTTAGTAACCTGAGTTATAAAGAATCAAATGTCATTTGTATTATTATTATAATTATTAATTCACATAAATGGAGTATTGAATAGTCTATTTACAATATGATGAATGTAAATTATACTTGGATGATGAGGATGTCGAAGTAGTACAACAAGAATATGGGGTATTAATTAATTTCGGTGTGATTAAAATTGTTTTATTGATATTTTCATCATTGAATGTCTCAATTCTTGGTAAAGATAAACTATGTACATCTAAAATAATCATAAATTGAAATAAATAGGTTAACTGTAGTATATATATATGAAGAGATAGAGAGAGGGAGATAATGCCCCCAAATGCCCTGGTATGGCCGAGAGTGGGGTGGGCCCGCCTTCCCTTTCGAAATGCTCTCACACGGCCACACGTATACAGCCTCTGCCAGGGAAGTCTCACTCACTGCCTTCTCGTGGCCACAGTGTTGTTTACGAAAATGAGAGGACAAAAAGCGAATGTCCGGTGCTTTAACCGGATCTCAAACCATGGGCTCCAGTATCCTGAGTGAACGAATGGCGTATGAACCAATTGTTGGTCACCGGCTACCATGGGACTGCATCTCCTCACGATGCTACACTACCTTGTGGGTCAGACCTTTAGGTCAAAGGCTCGGGGTGTAACCCCCTAAGATAACCAACTGCTTCGGTCTGGGAACCCGGGAAGTATCACAGCCCACACACACAAATATGGTGTGGCGCATATATATTTGGTGCCCTCTTGTACCAATATCCATGTGTTGTAATAAATAAATAAATAAAGGGAGAGAGGAAGAAAGGTATGTATTGAATAACAAATAATATATATTCATCAGTATAGGAGTTGTGGAGATTATTAAGTTGTTGATTGAAATCATGAACTGATTGATGTTAGACTATCGTTGAAAATCTGGATACAGTGTTTGACGACTGTTTCACCACATTGTGGGACTCCCCAACGGCGTATATTGGCGATTTCGCTCGCGGGATTCGAACACAGGGCCTTCAGAAATTTATGTAGGTTATAAGCTTTATGAGGTTTGTTTTGTTTTTTATTATTGAAAAGTAAACATAAGTGTTACTACTTATTTAAATATTTATTTGAACACATAAATATTGATACAAAGGATACAGAATATATATGCGCCATACACCTCACTTGGCTACTGTGTGAGGGCCTGGGTGCCCAGACCGAAGCAAGTGATTTTATTAGGGGGCCACAACCCGAGCATGCAACCTAAAGATCTGATCCACAACATAGTGGAACAAAATAAGGAAATGCAATAATATGGTAGTCGATGACCAACAATAGGTTCATACGTCATTTGTTCCTTCAGAATCCTGGAACCCATGTATATCATTGGTTTGGAATCAGGGTTTTCCAACTCCCCTAGATGGATCCTTCGTATCCACCAACCCGGTTGAAGTGTCGGTCATTCGCTTTTTGTCCTTTCAATTTTGTAAACACCAGTAATGCCACGAGGGGTCAGTGAGTATTACTTCCCTGTCAGTGACTGTATATGTGTGGTCATGTGAGAGAATTTAGAGAGGGAGAACGGACTCACCTCACCCTCCGCCGTACTAGGGCGTGTATTACACTTTCTGAACATATCAAGGTCTATTATCAGTGTATCTTTTTATAAACACATCATATGCTTGTTAAGGATGTTATAACGGGATGAAAATAGGGAAAGTTGAGACTTTTAGAGCTATTATTCGGATTATTATTATTATTATTATTACCCATATCTTCATTGCTTCACTAATAGATAACTGTATAAATACATTTCCTCTTACCGTAAATTTTCAATGGATCTATCAACTTTCATTATATGTTTTATTATCCTTTAGTTATTAGAAATAATTATATAAGGTCTGTTTAGCTCTGTACCATATTTGATAAGATTGTGTTTATATGAGGACGGTCCACAGGTGAACTCAAGGAAGCTGTAAGAAGCTCAGAAAGAGTCAAAGATATTCCATGCAATTACTTTTTGAAAGAATATTCTAGAATCCTTATGTGTAGCTTCCCGATTGGACAATGTTAATACCCCCCTGTATGCAGAGTGGAGGAGTGATAGGGGAATCCTTGAAAAAAAGTCATCGATTAGATATGCAGAAGCTTATTCATTAATATATGTCCCCCAGAAAATTCAGCTGAATTCATAACCAATAGTATATATATACTCTCTTAAAAAGTCAAGTTAATTATTGATCAGTAACGTGTATTTGATTGTATCACTTACTGATCGTTTAGTCTTAAATCAATATGTCCTATTAACCTAGCCTATAGATCACGCGGTTTATTGTACATGAAAGTCATAACAAAGTTATTCAACTATACATTGAATAATTCACTGTAATTAATGTGCTTTCGTACAATATTGTCAAATACTTGTTGTCATCTCATTTTTATACTTCTATTGAAGTTAGACATTAACGCCGTTGGATGCTGACCAGCTCAATGGTCTAGAGGTTAAGCGTTAGCGCGTGGGATTGATAAGTTCTAGGTTAGAATCTTGCCAGGCAGGATCATGGATGCACACTGTTAAGGAATCCCACAATAGGACGATACGGCTGTCGAACAGTACTTCCAGCTTTTCCATGGTGATCTAGTTTCAAATGACTTATTATCTCAACTATTGAAATTGCTATAATATCCATTAAAACCCCTTCAGATATTAATCAACATATGCTCACTAGTGACTGACTTCAAGTGGTATTTCCTGAAGTTCCAGTGAGAAGCAGTGATCCGTGGAGTTCAATCGGGTTTGTTGTGAGATGGTAACTTATTGAAGATAATGGTGGATGTGTCGATCAATTTCGTGGATTAGTTGAAGTTAGACATCAACACCAGCTCAATGGTCTAGATTTTAAGCGTACACACATGGGACGGATAAGTCCTGTGTTCGAATCTCGCCAGGGAGGATGGTGGATGCACACTGTTAAAGAATCCTACAATAGAACAATACGACCGTCAAACAGTACTTCTAGCTTTTTTCATAGTGATCTAACTTCACTTGTCTCATGATTTCAACCATTACAAAATGAAACACATACACACACATACACTTACGAGTTGGAATACAAATTGTATTTCTATCACCATCTTCATTATCATCAATGTTTTCATCATGTAAATATGCTTTAGTTCGACATAGATTATCACATTTATACATAACATTTGATGTATGCAATAGAGATATTGGATGATCATATGTGTAATGGTGTTCTAATTTATGAGGGATAAATGAATTCAACCCATTATTATTATTACTGAAAGCTTCGTCTAGATCGTGTTTACCATATTTTGAGTAAGTAAAGTTCTTTCTGTTGCTATCATGGTATCTCTGTGTACATCTCGGATAGTAACCATCACTACTATTATTATTATTTGGTGGCAGTGTTTCAAATGATGTCAACTGATTATATTGTTGTATTGATAATAGATTACATGAATCATCCTCATCGTCATGACGATGAGGATGAGGATGATATACATTTTGATTGGTTGATTGACATTTTGAACAAATTTGATTGGTTAATTTGGTGGTTTGTTTAAATGAACAATATTCGATGATGATAAATAAAGTTAAATATAAAGTGAATATACTTATAAATATTGTAAGTAGTAAATCTGTAAATGAACAAAAAATATATAAAGAAAACAACAATGAAAGTTCCATTTTTTAAAAAGTGAAAATGTTACATATTGTTTGTGATTGAGATCATGAATCGATTGATGTTAGACCATCATTGAAAACCTGGAAGCACTGGAGGGCATCTTCGTGGATTGGTTAAGGTTAGAAATTCACATCATTGGATACCGACCGGCTCAATGGTCTAGTAGGTTAAACGTTCGCATGCGAGACTGAAGGCCCTGTGTTCGAATCCTCCGAGTGGGATCGTAGATGAGCAGTGCTGAGGAGTCCCACAATAGGACAAAAAGACTAAACAGTGCTTTCAAGTTTTCAATGGTGGTCTAACATCAATCGGTTTATGATCTCAACCAAAAAGTTAATAATCTCTACAACCCCTAAACTGATTGTTACATATTCATTTAAATAATATTAGTGTATACTACTGATATCGACAGATATCAGTAGTATGTAGATCATCAATCGAAACTCAAATGTCTGGTAGAAGAAGGTTAAGAAAATGGAAGAAAAGAGAATGAGAATAGAGAGTGATTAATGTGAAAATGAAGGAATAGTTAAGTTTGAGATAGGTGACTAGCATTTTAAAATGAAGTATTTACTATATGATTCTCTGATTTCACTAAGAGATCTTGTAATTTTATGTTCAAAATATATTTGGTTATCCCTGTAGTGAACGAGGACAATCGAATGTATCTGAACACAAAATAAGAGAACATCTATGTAAAATCTGAGGACCATACAGTAAATGCAAATATGGATAGTGGGTAGCAGAGAAATTCAGTTTGACGAGCATTTCGCCCTATTTGAGACTCGTCAGCTGAATGTACCTGAATCTCAGAGCTGATGTTCATACTGGGACTCGAACACCCATCTCACCATCTATGATATGAATCATGTATTTCAAACATACTGGGTTTATATTACAAATCAAACAGATCACATCATACCATAAAATAGGAAACAACATTTATACAAGATTTAGCCAAAAGTAGCTATGAATATGAGAGACTGTAATGAATAGATCGATCATAACTCAAGAACGGTAAATCATATATTAATGATCTATGGGTTAAAATAAAGCTTATAATAAGAGGAATATGAATAGACACAGTTTAGCTATCTAATAATTATACAATAAGAAATAGATCCCAACAATTACCATTCATCATTCTCATCAAGATTTAACAGATAGAAGTCACACAAAATGATCTTGAGTAACTTACAGAAGTTTAACATCCATTCCACTAACCAATCTACAAGTACGCTGAGTTTACATTTGTGTTATCAGTATACAGATTTGTAAAGATTGTAGTATATTCATAGTATAAATCATGAATCAATTTAAGTTAGACTACCATTAAAAACTTCAAAGAACTAGATGACCATTTTGTCCCAGTATAGGGCTCTTCAGTGATGCGCATCCAGGATCCTACAATCAGGTATCCAATTCAGGAATTTTAATCTCACGTAAAAATGCATAAAATCTAAATCACTGACCTGGTATCCAACAGTGTTAATATCTAAATTTAATCAATTCGTAATCTTGTACAATCCTTCATTCATTCGTTATAGTTAGACATTAACATCTCTGAATGCCAGATCGGTGGTCTAAGAGTTAAGCATTCATGTACAAAATCAAACGTTCTAGGATTGTTTTTAGTATTGTTTTGTTCTCTGAGCTGGATGGTTTGGTCGTGGAGCTTTGATCGTTCTTCTGAACGGCATTATCAGCACAAACTTTAGATAGAAGTGAAGTGTTCGAATTTCTAGGATTGTGGATACACACCGCTAAAAAATTCCATACTAGGACAAAACAACCGTCTAATGCTTCCACCACGTTTTCAATGGTATTATAATTTAGATCAACTTACGATTCTAACAGAATTCATATTGTAAATCAAATATCCGATCCTCTAGATTGTTTATTCATTCATTACATAATAACAAATCATATTCATAAGTCAATTGACATGACTATTATGTCAAATTAGAACTCATTTATTATGTATTTATCAATAATTAGATTATCTATATAGAATAAGACAAAGAGACATAGATACAACGAGATTGTGTGTGTGTGTGTGTGTGAGAGAGAGAGAGAGAGAAGGAGAGGGAGGTAGGGAGGGAGATCAGTGATAGCTCAATAATTCATTATTATTATTATTAGTAGTAGTAGTTGAGTATAGTTGAACGTATCCGTTTTTCAATGCTTCTAATTAATCAATTCATTAGCTTATTATGATTATGTATTACATAAGATGATTGTGAATAATCAATAACAGTAGGATAATAAAATAGCAAGATGAAGATGAATTCACGTGGTATTGTTTAGTTGAATATTTCTATTGATGTGTTAGGATTACAAGTGATCCGTCTCATATTGGCATACGTGTATATTGTGCATATTGCTTCTTACTTACTTACTTACACCTGTTACTCCGAATGGAGCATAGGCCACCGATCAACATTCTCCAACCCACTCTGCCCTCACCCTTCCTTTTCAGTTCTATCCAATTGTTGTTCATTCTTCTCATGTCTAACTCCATTTCTCGACGTAATATGTTCTTTGGTCTTCCTCTTCTCTTTTGATATTGAGGATTCTATGTGAAGGATTGCTGTGTGATACAGTTGGATGCTTTCCTCAATGTGTGTCCTATCCACTTCCAGCGTTTCTTTCTGATTTCTTCCTCCACTGGGATCTGGTTTGTTCTCTCTCACAGTAGGTTGTTACTGATAGTGTCTGGTCAACGGATCCGAAGTATTTTGCATAGACAACTGTTATTAAACACTTATATCTTGTGAATGATCGCTTTCGTAGTTCGCTAGGTTTCTGCTCCCATACAGTAGAACCATCTTGACATTTGTATTGAAAATCCTGACCTTAGTGTTGGTTGACAGACAATTGTTTTGAGTTCCGGATGTTCTTCAATTGTAGATATGCTGTTCTTGCTTTGCCGATTCGCGCCTTCACATCTGTATCAGATGCACTGTGTTCATCAATGATGGTGTCCAGATATGTAAAGGTTTTTACATCTTCCAAATCTTCTCCTTCAAGTGTGATTCGATTGTTGCATGCTGTGTTGTATCGAAGAATCTCGCTTCTTCCTTTGTGTATATTGAGACCTACTGCTGCTGAGGCTGCTGCTCCACTGTTCGTCTTCTCCTGCATTTGTTGTTGCGTTTGCGATAGAAAGGCCAGATCATCTACGAAGTCGCGTATTGCCTTAATTTACAGGTATTATATGCAAAGTTGGATAGTGGTTAATAGTGGAATTCAGGACGCGCGTTTCGTCCTATTTGGAACTTGTCAGCTGGATTTACTTGCAATTCATAGTTGATATTCATTCTAGGACTCGAACCAAATACTGTTCACTTCAAATACCATTACGTAATCCACTTAGCTACTGAGTCCATCTTTGCTTAGAATGGTTGTGAATTAAGATTATATCAAGGCAAGATGCACACATACCAACAAGAGACTAATCAGTTTCAATGTTAAAAATATCACCGGTAAAGTTCAAGTAAGCAAGAATATCAAGTGAATTTACACTTCAGTATAGGGTTGTGAAGATTATTAAGTTATTGATTGAGATCATGAACCGATTAATTTTAGACCACCACTGAAAACCTGGAAGCACTGAAATGTCGTTTCAGCCTACTGTAGGACTCCTCAATGGCACTGCGCATCCACGACATCTCCCCCCCGCGGGATTGGGATACAAGACGTATTAGTCTCGAGTGCGAACACTTAACCTACTAAACCACTGAGTCAGTATCCAATAGTATTCATGTCTAACCTCAACCAATCCACGAAATTACTATACCTGTCTTACACTGTTGAGGAATCCTATAACAGGAAGAAACGGCCGTCAAACAATACTTTCAAATTGATCAATAATGATCTCATAATATCAATCAATCGATTCATGATCTCGATCAATTTATATTTTCAACTCAATGTTATCATATTCTATACCATTGAATCAATATTGAAATGAAACTAACTAAATAAAACATCAGTTTACTATTTCTTATTCAATGATCAATCAATGTAATGAGTTCATTAAAACAAACCTTTATTATTATTATTATGTATATATACACGTATACCCCCCCCACACACACACTATTCAATAGAGAAGTTTATAAACAATAAAACTTTTTCTTTTTTTTTTAATCTTTATTTTTCGTTAGAAACAAACTTGAAATAAGAAAAAAAACCGCCACTTTTTTTTCTCTTTTTTTCTTTTTTTTTTGCAACTTGGATACAGTTTGAATTTTGTTTTGTTTTTGTTTTATTCATCATAAACAAAAACGGATTAAAAACTAATTAGCAACATAATAATTTATTGTACATTGAATTTAGTTTAATAAAACAAAATTAATATAAATGAAAAAGCAAAAAAAAGAATATTGAAATAATAAATAATAGAATTTATTGAAATATAAAGTTCTTCTCACTACCTCCTCATGAAGGAGATGTTGTTGGAGTAATTGAAAAGATGAAATATGAAGATTCGGCGCTTTGATCGGATTGGTGGACATAGAGGATATACCTACGAGGAGTTGGAGAATTCTGATTTACATGAGCATTAGGATCCTGAAGGAATAAATGGTGTATGAAACAATTCTTGATCTTCGATTATGTTGTGACTTTAAGTTGGGTCGATTTCTACCCTGCGCCAATTGTTGTAACCTGTAGACTGCAGGTTATGGATGGAGCAGCGTATTTATCGATCGCTTCTGTGACACGTATAACACGTACGAACGACCTAGTGTTCTGATTGGTCCCACTTCCCTGTCTAACCCAGTCAGTTGAGTCCAGAACACAAGTCACAACCTCTGAGATATGAATCACTGTATTTCAGACATACTCTATTTATATACAAACCAAACAGATCACATCGTACCATAAAAATAGAAAACAACATTTGTACAATATTCAACGAATGAAATAAATAATGGCCAATAGGAAATGTCCATTTAACGTCCAAGGACATCATTAGACTTAACATGATAATGATTGGCACATTATTCTGCATCCATAACAGGTTACCATGAGACTATCTTCTGACGTTGCTCTACTATCTTGTTGATTAGAAATTTAGGTTGAAGGTTTCAGTAGTGACCTCCTATGAAAACCACCGGCTTCGGTCTAGGCACACGATCAGTATCACAGCTCACACATAAATCAAGTGACTTGTATGGCGTATATGTATTCGGTGCCTCTTTGTACCAATATATATGTGTCCAAATAAATAAATAATGTAAACCTTAAAGAGTGTAGAAACATACATAAGAAGAAGGCGGGGGAGGATAAGAGTACCGTTGTCGAAACCTTTATTTGCGTATAATCTATTTGGCTTAATTTTTTTGACAAACACTTTCTTTTCTACAGCTTTTTATAAATAAGTGCTAACGAGAATCCGAAAATGGAACTAGTCAAGAATTTATTACCAACCAGTACAATAAAAGCAACATTCTTCGATACAACACAGCATGCAACAATCGAATCACACTTGATGGAGAAGATTTGGAAGATGTAAGAAACTTTACATATCTGGACACCATCATTGATGAACACAGTGCATCTGATACAGATGTGAAGGCGCGAATCGGCAAAGCAAGAACAGCATATCTACAATTGAAGAACATCCGGAACTCAAAACAACTGTCTGTCAACCAACACTAAGGTCAGGATTTTCAATACAAATGTCAAGATGGTTCTACTCTATGGGAGCAGAAACCTAGCGAACTACGAAAGCCATCATTCACAAGATATAAGTGTTTAATAACAGTTGTCTATGCAAAATACTTCGGATCCGTTGACCAGACACTATCAGTAACAACCTGCTGTGATAGAGAACAAACCAGATCTCAGCGGAGGAAGAAATCAGGAAGAAACGCTGGAAGTGGATAGGACATACATTGAGGAAAGCATCCAACTGTATCACACAGCAATCCCTCACATGGAATCCTCAATATCAAAAGAGAAGAGGAAGACTAAAGAACATATTACGTCGCGAAATGGAGTTAGACATGAGAAGAATGAACAACAATTGGATAGAACTGAAAAGGAAGGGTGGGGGCAGAGTGGGTTGGAGAATGTTGATCGGTGGCCTATGCTCCATTCGGAGTAACAGGTGTAAGTAAGTGCAATAAAATTTGACACTACTTGCGGTTTACAAATAAACAAATCATTTTCTATATTATTTTGATGTGTTCAAGTCATATTGTTAGTATCGTTTGAGGTATAGTGTTTATTATTATACAAGAATTGAATTATTTATTTGTGAACTAATCAAATTCTAATGTAACCTAATTTAAGGTAACCGCTAAAATGTCTTCAATCAAAGTTTTATGTTATCTGACAGAAGTTAACAATATTCTAGACTTTCTTCATGGAACTAATACAAACCTTCTTCCTTCTATAAGATTTAAATCGCATCATTCAACGTTACAATGACAGGGACTATAACTGAAAGAATTCATCAAATGTATAACCAGAATTGGTTTTGTGGAGATTTTTAGAAATTTCACAGGTTGAAATCATGAGTCAATTGAAGCTAGACCACCATGGAAAACCTGGAAGCACTGGACGGTCGTTTCGTCCGTGTATGGGACTCCTAAGCAGTGCGCATCTGCGATCCCGCTCCCCTCCCTGCTCGGCGAGATTCGAACCCAGAACCTATCAATCTCTTACGCGAGCACGTAACTATTAGACTACTGAGCCGGTCGGCATCCAACCGTGTTAATGTCTAACTTCAACCAATCCACGAAACTGCGCTACCGTACACTCTTGTCTTTAGTGAGCTGATCTCTCACAACAGATCTGGTTGAATGTATAACCTCTTATTATCACTATCATATTGTCTAATTCAAAGTGTGCTGATTGAATTTGACCTAAGTAAATCTGAAAGGGATTACATTAAACTCATATTGGAAATCAGTAACTATGGTGTTTATAGTAACCTATCAATGGATTAGATATTGTCATAGACGTTCTGTTACCTTTTCTTTCTTTAGTTTGTTTCTAACTACTTGAACGTTTTTTTTTTAATATATCTGAGAATTTCTATTTCTTTAATTATAATCTGTTAGATCTAAGTTTCTATGCTTTTTATTATTAAATGTTGAAGATCTTATGAGGCTTCATGAATTCCTTGTAAAAGTCTTCAAAAGCTAGGACAACTTTGAAATCACTTCAAAGGATCTGTATTCCTCAGAGACTTTGAACAGAATGTTAGAGAACGGAGGATCATAACTAAACAATCAACTAGTCTGTCATTAATTTTACCACGACAAATAGAATGGTATAGATATTTGTGTTTTCTGCACATAAACTAACCATGAAAATAGACGATCTTCTATAATTCCCTCATTTCGTTTTCTATTCGAAGATTAAGAGTAGAAGATTTCTTTGAATTAGGTGGTGATTACTAGTTTGGCTCATAAATATCTAAGTTTCAAACTTATTCAATGAAATTCAATACTCAGGATCTTCAGATATGACAGCTCATGATGCCTTCAGATTTACAAGCATTTCCTAGAAACATTCCTTAAATCATAACAGATCTCATTTGGTCAAACATTGAAAATGAAGTAGAACTATACAGCTGTTTTGTTCTGGTATGAAACTTCTCAGCAGTGTGTATCCACTACCCAATCATATATCGAACCTAATATCTTCAGGTCTCATATTCAGCTCCTGATATTGAGATGGTAATTACAAGTCAATTATTATCTTCAGTGGTTATCTGCCACCTATCCAATATGAGAAATTAATCTATTTTCATTATAAAAGCAACTTACTTTTGAAGTAAATATCTATATGGATTGTTGAACTTTCATGAAATGTTGGAACATTGAATTTAGACAATCTGATACTCAAACTGACCATACTGGAAAAAAAACGAAAAAAAAGAATTAATATTAATTTCAATAGTTGAGATCATGAGTCAATTGAAGTTAGACTATCATGAAAAACCTGGAAATACTATTTGATGTCTATTTCGTCTTAGTATGAGACTCCTCAGTTGTGTGCATCCACGATCCCGTATAAAGGATTTGAACCTAGAATCTTCAGTCTAGCCGTCCAATGCTTCTAGTTTTCCCATGATGATCTACTATTAATTGACTCATGAATTAAACTATAAAATTAATATAATCTCCATAAAACACTTTTTCTGATAACAATCATCATGTGCTTACTAGTGACTGGCTTCAACAGGTATTTCCTGGAATTGTAGTGAGAAGCTATGACCAGTGGCGTTCAACCGTATCTATTGTGAGACAGTTACTAACTGTAGACAATGGTGAACGGTGTTGCCTTATTTCGTGGATTAGTTGAAGTTAGACATTAACACCATTGGATACAGGCTCAGTGATCTAAAGGTTAAGTGTTCACGCGCAAGACCAAAGGTCCTGGGTCGTACTGGGGTTTTTTTCGAATGATACAAACCAGTGTTACTGTGGTTTATATTCAATATGAACTAAAGAGAAATCTTAGTCTTCCTGTCATTCATTTACATAAGACTGTCTGAAAAGAAGACTAGGTTTTGAATGTAACGAACTTATAAATATATTTCTCCTACGTCAGTCAGTCGGCTACAACGTAGAACTAGGCATATATATGCATGAGTCCAAGTTGCCATACCTCATTAGTACAACAACATGAACACCGGATTCATAGAAGTAGTTAAGATTACGAATCCATCTTAGTTGAAACACCATTATAACCTATGAAGCATTGAACATCTGTTTCGTCCTGGTATCGGACTCCTCAGCATTACGCGCAATGTCATAAACTGATTTAGGTTATACTTGCATATTATTGAATAATGGCTCTGACACGAGATCAAATGTCTTGGGTTTGATTCCATGTGTTGAAGTTGTGAATATACACTGTTAAGATATCCCATAACAGAACAAAACTGATGTATAGTGATCCTTGGTTTCCAGTGGTTTTCTTTTAGCTTGGATCAGTTCGTGATGTTAACTATCATATATTATGTGTTACCGGTTTGTGGTAATTATTTGAAACATTCTCCAGAAAACGGGGAAAATGTTCAGACAGTTCTCACTAACTCACTTTCCTCAGTATCTTCCAGGACAAATCCCATTACTTTAATTAAGCAACTATCGAAATTTATTGACAATTCTTCATCTTTTGTAGAAGCTTCTCGATGTTCTTGGTTGAGTATAGTCCTACAAATATCAATATTTTCTGTATGTGATCTAATTTTCGGAAGTATGGCTTCTCTTTTGTTAACAGTTCAAATGTAAAAGGGCGAGACTATAATTTATGGACGAACCAATCAGGTTTAGGATAGCAGGTCTTAAATGTTGGCGCGAAATTCATTCACCCATTTAGCTAAATAGTCTTGGTATTATAGCTGATGTAAGTTCGTGATGAAAGCCCTAAATCTAATTCCTAACCCTAACCATCAAATGTAAATCATAATCCTTATTCTTTAAACTGCCTTATAACCCTCATTTAGTCTTAGTAAGTAGGTCACTTTAACGTCGCCCCAAGGTCGTTCATAAATTATAGTCTCACCGATTTAATCACTAAGCTACTTCATTGTATCCTCCTGATTGAAGTATATCATCTGTAATCGCCTATATATAAGAAAGTCTACAAAATCTTAATCTTTAGAAACATCATCTTGGCACATTCATTTCAGTCATAAAAAATTGGTATGATTGTAAAATCAAATTCTGGATAAGTTCTGTCTTTCTTAAATTATCTTGTTTCCTGATATGAATGAATTTTGTAGTTGATTACTTTGCTAGAAGTAATGGATATTTCATATCTTCACCACAATTGTGATTAAACTGTGTTGATATGAAAACTAACAATGTTCAGGTGAAAGGCCTCCAGTTCGAATCCTATGTTACTTACATCAATTGCGGTAAAACGGTAGTAGGATTACTGGCTCTCATTTATTTATTTGAACAAATAAATATTAGTACAAAGGGGGACCAAATACATATGCGCCACACAACGCACTTGATTTATGTGTGAGCTATGATACTGTTCGTGTGCCCGGACCGAAGCAGGTGATTTTCTTAGGGGGCCACAACCGGAGCCTTCGACCTAAAGGTTGAGGTAGTGGAACAATTTAAGGAAATGCAGTCTCATGGTAGCCAGTGATCAACAATCGGTTCATATACCATTTGTTTCCTCAGGATCCTGGAACACATGTGCAGTGCTTGAAGTCCCTAACTTCTGGTCTGAGCCATGTTGGTAGATGCAAACTAATCGGTTGGGGTCCGCATGACTATCGTAATCAATGGTTGGAGACTGTGTGTGACATGGCTCAGAATCGATCACAATGGCGTAGGTGTATACAATCTCTGTCTTCCCTCAAACTATGAGATTAAAATCGCTTCATATCTTTCTTTCTACCAACAAATTCTTTCTTCCCGTACTATGTCCTTATATGCAATCTTTATTTTATATGTTACCATCGTTTAGTTAACTACTTCTATGAATCTGGTGTTCATGTTGTTGTGCTAATGAGGTATGGCAACTTGAACAGATGCATGTACGTGCTTGGTCTTACGTTGTGACTGACTGACTGACTGACTGATTGAGCACATATGCACTGCTAGTCTGGGAATCAGGGTTGCCAAACACCCCCCTAGATGGATCCTCCATATCCACCAACCCGGTTAAATCACCGATTACTCGCTTTTCGTCCTCTCAATTTTAAAAACGACACCGTGGCCGCGAGAAGTCAGTGAGTAGAACTTCACTCGTAGTGACTGTATACGCGTGACCATGTAAGAGCATTTGGAGAAGAAGAACGGACTCTCCCCACCCTCAGCCCTATCAGGGCATTCGATGGTCTCAATAAGAACAACAACAAGGCAGATTCGCATGAATATGGGATGCAACTCTCTTCGAACCTAGTACAAAACAGTAGCATCATTCATTGTCCTACCACCTACCCTTGACAGAGTAGGCAACCGAAACGTCTCAAGAACACTATCCAGGCATACAATAATCTAGGTACCCATCATATAACCAATATAACGCATAGTCTAAAACATCAACCTTTTCATTTAGTTAAAAAAAATCATTATGGAGGTTGTGAAGATTATTAAGTCTTTTTGATTGAGGTCATGGACCGATTGATGTTAGACCACTATTGAAAATATTGAACGGCTGTTTCGTCCCATTGTTGGACTCCTCATTGGCAGTGCTCATCCACGATCTCGCTCTCGGGATTCGAACCCAGGGCCTTCAGTCTCCCAGACGTCTGCTTAATCTACTGATTCACTGAGCTAGCATCCAATGCTTTTAATTTCTAAACTCAACCAATCCACGAAGTTGCGCTAACATCTTCCATTGTACTGAGGTAGATACCTGTCTCTACCTGACACAGGATCGTGAATGCATGCTACTGAGTAGTTCCACAATAGGATGAAACAGCCATCTAGTACTTCCAGGTTCCTAACGATGGTCTAATATCAATCAATTCATGATCTCAATCAACAACCAAAAAAAAAAAAAACGAATGTAAAACATACCTTGATATAGATAATTCTGTATAAGGATAAGAATGTTTTGGATGTATTAAACGTATGAAATGATTATTTTTAATTAAATTATGTAATTGTAAATTCACATAATCTAATCTTGTTAATGCACCACTAGCTGTTTCACCACATTTATTCATTTGTTCATTATAATATGGAATTAAATGACTACAATTCATAATATGAAATTGTGATCTAAATTGAGTAGTATTATCCATTAATGAATTGATATTGAGCATAGATGATCTATTCTTATTAGATATATATGTAGATGATAAATTACTAGAATTTGATAGAAGATAACGAAATTTCATAACCTATATAATATAATAATTGAATAATATAAAATGATTGTTACTATGGGGGAAAACATAAATGAACTTATCAGTATAGTGGTTGTGGAGATTGTTAAGTTTTTGATTGAGATCATGAATCGATTGAAGCACTGGATGGGTCAGTGATTCAGTAGGTTAAGCGTTCACGCGTGAGATTGAACGTCCTAGGTTCGAATCCCACGAGCGGGATCGTGGATACGCATTGTTGAGGAGTTCCACAATAGGATGAAAAGGCTGTCTAGTGCTTCCAGGTTTTCAATGGTGATCTAATATCAATTGGTTCATGATCTCAATCAAAAAATAAATGAACTTAGTTGTAATACAATTTAAAATTAAAAAAAATTGTTGCCTAGATGATATTACATAATCTATTTTGAGGTAGCTCGGTTTTTCATGTTTACACAAATAGGATATTCATTTTAGATTAAATGAATATTTACACTAGATTCCTTTCTAGTGTGTTTATTCTCAGTCAGTCAGTTATAATGTAGGACTAGGCACATATATATATTTTTCTGCTTAGCGTTTTTTAGTGAGTTAGTTTTCTACGGGATGGGGACGCTAGCCTCATGCCCAACTCTCCGGGCTTGGGACCGGCAATAGCCCTCGAAGGGACTCCAGGTGGAGTTAACGACTCAAAATTAAAATCTAATTTCGAATCTATTTGTTTTCGAAAGTTTGCGAATTAAGTAGTCACATCAAAATATCTGGACCATGAATAAAAAAAATTAGGAAGAAGCTCTAGAAGTGGATAGGACACACATTGAGGAAATCACTCAACTGTATCACAAGGCAATCCCTCACATGGAATCCTCAATATCAAAGGAAAAGAGGAAGACCAAAGAACATATTACGTCGAGAAATGAAGATAGACATGAGAAAAATGAACAAGAATTGGATGGAAATAGAAAGGAAGGCCCAGGACAGAGTGGGTTGGAGAATGCTGGTCGGCGGCCAATGCTCCATTAGGAGTAACAGGCGTAAGTAAGTAAGTAAGGCACATATATGCATCGGTCGAAGTTGCCTCATTAACACAACAACATAAACACCGGATTCATAAAAGTAGTTAATTCAGTGGTGGTAATATATAAAAGAAAGATTGTATATAAGGATATAGTACAGGAAGAAAGAATTAGTTGGTAGAATGAGGGTATACACCGACGTCTTTGTGATCGATTCTGAGCCACGTCACCGAGAGTCTCCAACCATTGGTTACGATGGTCACGTGGACCCCAACCAAGTAGTCTGCATCTACCAACATGGCTCAGATTAGAAGTTAGTGACTTCAAGCAGTGATGCCACGTTTTGGTTTGGCCGCCCCTAACTTTCTTTCCCCTATACTAGTTAACATTGCGCTTTGTGGTATTCGGTGTTCAGGCATTCGTAACACGTAGGCTAAACATCTCAGTCGATAAAGATTCACAACATCATCAACTATCTTACCATCATTCCCGAATACCTTCCATCTAACCATACTATTACTTACCAGGTGATCCCAGCAGATGTGAGCAATATTTCTAAGACATGTATGATCGAATACAAGTAGTTAACAAGTATCTTCTATTCTTAATGGCCACGTTTCGCAGCCATAAAGTAGGACAGAAAGAACTGCTGCGTAGTATACTCGTCCTTTAATCAATAGATGGATATCTTACCTTCGCCATCGGTGACGTAAGTTGACAAATGCCAACATAATTCAGATTTAGCCTGACTAAAATGTAGATATATTTCCACACAAAAACTGACAACAATCTAACGGCGATCAGCGATCCATCACCATTTAATAATAATAATACGAGTAGGAGAATATATAACTCATCTAACACCTGTCAGACTATCTACAAGTCTGACTATTCTCGTCCATACATCATAAATAATTGAAAGAGATCTTGGTTTGGCCACTCCTAACTTTCTTCTAACCATCCCCTATACTAGTCATCATTGCGCGTTATGGTAATCGGTGTTCAGGCATACGCAACACACATCAATCAACTTACCACCGTTAATATCTTACGTAATAATGAAGAACTTGGTGATACAATTACTTTTGTTTCAAAAAAACTATTAATTAATTGTAATTCAATATGATCTAATGTATGATTATATATAAAATATTGATTTTCTTCATGATGATAATGATCATCGTCATCATGATCTTGATCTTGATGTTGATCTTGATCTGGATCCATAATTGATAAAGTATTCTTTGATAAAATATCTTTAACAATTGAAGTGAATAATTGATATACTTTAGTATAACAATGATGATGATGATGATGATTATGATTCATTGTATTATGAATAGATTTGATTGGATTGAAATATTTCAAGTACTTGTATAAGTTCCAAATAGATTGAATAGTAAATTTTGTTAATAATTTAGCTTGATATAATTCTTTAGATAAATTTTTAATTAAATCATAAGCTGTACGATTATAAATTTGTAATAATGCTTTCTGTTGATAGAGTATACCATAATGAACCTTTGAATGAATGAATGAATGAATAAAAGAAAATGGAAATCAATTATATGAATGTTGATATCATTGAATGAAGAAATATTGATCTAAAGAGGGCATCGAATACACATGTACTACATAATGTACTTGAATTGTGTATGAGTTGTGATATTGCCTAGGTGGCCAGATCGAAGTAGATGGTTGAATCAGGGGGCCACACACCAAGCCTTCAATGAAAAGGTCGCCTCTGAATGGCCTGGTACGGTCGAGGGTGAGGAGAATCTGGTCTCCCTCTTCAAATGCTCTCATATGGTCACGCGTATACAGCCACTACCGAAGAAGTAATACTTATTGACTTCTCGCTGCTGCGGTGTTGTTTACGAAATTGACAGGATGAAAACCGGTGCTTTAATCAGATTTGTAGATATAGAAGATCCATCTAGGGGGATTGGAAAATCCTCAGTCCAAACCACTAGTGTACATAAGCTCCAGGATCCTAAGAAAACAAATGGCGTATGGACCAATTGTTGGTCACCGGCGACCATGGGACTGCATCTCCTGATGTTGCTCTACTGCCTTGTGGATCAGACCTTTAGGTCAAAGGCTCAGGATGGGGCTCCCTATCAAAACCACCCGCTTCGGTTTAAGCACGCGGACAGTATCCTAGCTCTCACACAAACCGAATGATTTATGTGGCGCATACCTTTTTGGTGCATCCTTGTACCAATATTAATGCGTTTACATAAATAAAACATAAAAGTCTAATCACCAAGACAGTAGAGTAACGTCATGAAATGCAGTCCTATGGTAGCCGTTGACGAACAATAGGTTCATACGCCATTTTTTCCTTCAGAATCCTGAAGTCGATGTTTACCATTAGTTTAGAATTAGGGTTTTTTCCAACTTCATATCTAACAGCCCTGTTTAGGCTCCAAACACTCGCTTTTCATTGTCTTAGTTTCTTAAACAACAGATTGACGAGAAAGCAATGTGTAAGATTTCCCAGTCAGGAGTTCTATAGACGTGGCTATGTGATACAGGAATTTAGAAGATAAACATTTATAATGTTTAAATGATAAATATAAATCCATGTTAGATTATTAGACTCAATTATTGTATTTGACTGATATGGTGTGTGTTTGGATTTCATAAAGATTTTGAAAAGAATTACCTTAATGATAAATCTCGAACATCATGAAACGCAATTCGCTTGGTGTTGTTTTACTTGTATCTTTGCATTGATGTTTAGGATTGCAATTGATGAGTCTCTTATTGGTATATGTGTATGGTGTACGGATTGCCCCGATACTGCCTTAATTCAAAAGCATTCCAAGCAAAGATGGATGGTGTCTAGTAGTGGAATTCAGCTTGACGCACCTTTCTACCTATTTGGGACTCGTCAGATGGATGTACCTGGATTCCATTGCAAGCCACTATCTTGGCTTATAAAGATTATGAAACACAAGTTTACACAAAATAGATAAAATCTGACTATCAATGAAATGTAGAGAATGCGTTTGGTCTTATAAAGGACTCGTCATCTGGATGTATTTGCATTCTAGTGTTAATGTTCACAATAGAAATAGGACCTAGTACCTGCGTGTCAAATTCGAACTCAAAACCTTCGGTCTCACGCGAGAATACTTAACCCCTAGATTATTGAGCCAACATTCAATGGTTTCAATGTCTAATTGAAATCAATCCGTGATCTTGCACAACCCATCATTCACTGATTAAATCTACTTATTAATACCGCTGGGTTAAGAGTTCACGTACTTGACCAAAGTACCTGGGTTCGAATCCCACTCTTGGGATCATGGATTTTCACCGATGAAGACTCCTATGCTAAAACGAAACGGTGGTCCAGTACCCCCAGGTTTTCAATGTTAATCTAACACTGATCCATTCATGATCTCAATAACTTTAATGACCAATTGTTGACGATAAACGATATAAAGCTCTATTAGACTTTAGGGTTTTATCTTAGTTTATAATAAGAGATTAGATTCATAATATAATAATGCTGTTTGTTAGTGATTAGATCTTTTCATTTAGAATAATAGTTCTTTTTTGTTGTACCTTTCTCATCTAATATTTCAACTGTTAATACATTTGTTCCCAAGATCAGTTGAAACTGACATTACACTATATTGTTAATCTATAGTTCTCTCTATATTACCTTTATTTTCTAAACAGTAAGCGATGATAAAGCGTTTCCGATTTGTTCTAAGGTGACATATACATATATTCGTGCATAATCATTGGTGGTCTAATTAAAAAAACAACGGTGATCTGTTGAAACATTATCAAAAGATTAGAATCATATCATTGAATAAGGAATCGATACTTTGTTTAAGCGTAATCGCTTTCTATTCTTCTTTTAACAGATTGATTGTCATGTAAACATTCACTTAGTGTTGCTGCAATTGATCAATCTCATGTTAGCATATGTGCATCCTGAGCGGATTGCCTTGATATAGCCTTAAGTCACAAGCATTCTAAGCAAAGATGGATAGTGGTTAGCAGTGGAATTCAGCTTGATGAGCGTTTCGTTCTGTTTAGGATGCGTCAACTGGATGTATCTCCATCCCAGAGTTGATGTCCACTCCGGGACTCCAACTCAGTACTGTTCGTTTCAAATGCCATCGCATACTCCACTTAGCTATTGAGTCTTGACAGCTACCTGTTTGTGCAATGGGATGAAGTTTAAATTCACTTGGTATTAGTTACTTGTATCTTCCCACTGTTATTTACGACTGCAATTGATCGGCCACATGTTGGGATATGTGCATAGTGTATGGATTGCCTTTATATAGCCTTAAATCACATTTTAAGTTCACATTTTAGTTAGTGTTCACTGCTAAGAATACCATATAATTAATAGTTTGATCATTCTCATTGTTAGTTTTGATTGTCGTTATTGGGCAGTAACATCAACTCCTTACTCATGTACGGTAAAGAATGTAAACCGACTTTCATTTGTACAATGAATGACAGATAATTTCCAAAAGCATGACTTTCAAATCAATAGGGAATCAGTGAATACATTAACGTATATTACCCGATTTATAAGAGTTCGAGATCAATTGTAAAAGGCAGTAAACAAGATTGTAAAACACAAATGTAAATAACAAAACCTTAGTAAACAGTCAGTTACTAAAAACTAACTGATTTAACACTTGTACAGTAACTGTGAAGTGTAATTCTACATGAAGTAGCCATTGAAGTTATTAGTCAGCTTAGAGAACTCAATGACACTGATAAACTTCCTGCTAGAATGTGACATTGATGTGTTTCTTATTATTTCAACAAGAAATGATTACCATAAGAATCAAACATGTAGAATATAAAACAGTTGTTATCAATGTCATTGGATAGTTGTGACGATATATCATAAATTGATTGAAGATGTAATTTTACTAATGGACATCGACTTAATGAATCGAGTGTTCAAGTGTTCCCCGCTAGATCTGAAGGTCTTGGGTTTGATGCACGGTTGATTCATGGATGAGCATACCTGAGGAGTCTCATACTAGGACTAAGCAACAGAAATGTGCTTCATGGTTTTTAATAAATTCCAACTGAGGTCGATATATGATGAATATAATCAAGGAGGCTAAAACTAGTTTATAGTTGATATTTAATTTCAGTTATTATTGACATTGTGGTGGATAAATTTTTAGTGTTTAATTCTGTAAAATCGTCAACACTATCCGGAATTCATATGATCGACTACACGGTAATGTGGTGCATGGAGGACAGGTGACAGACGTATTCCAAGTGGGGACTGGAATTAGACAATACTGCTTACTCCTCCCCCTTTCTCTTACCTATCATGATTGACTGCACTATGAAGACCTACGCATTTAACGAGAAGCACAAAATAAAATGGACAGGTGGGGTAGAAGTAGAAGATTCTGACTTCGCAGATGACCTAGCCCTTCTATCAATACAGGTCACCAAATGAACGTAGAGACATACAGAATAACATCAGCCTCTGCGTCAGTAGGCCTCAAGGTACACAAAGAAAAAAGCAAGATACTGTCATACAATACATAGAACATCAACTCAATCACACGTAATGGATCAACTTTAGTAGGGTTGGAATCTTTCACATATCTAGGGAGTATCATCTACAAACAAGGGAGATCTTATGCAAATGTGAAGGCAAAGATTGGCAAAGCAACAGGAACATTTCTACAACTGAAGAACATGTGAAACTCAAAACAACTGTCTATCAACCATTGTCAAAGTGAGAATCTTCAATACAAACGTCTAGACAGTTCTACTGTATGGAGCTGAAACGTGGAAAACTACAACAACCATCATCAAGAAGGTACGATTATTTATAAACAGTTGTCTACACAAGATACTCAATGTCCATGGCTGGTAATCATCAGCAACAACCAACTGTGAGAGGGAATGAACCAGTTTCTAATTGAAGATGAAATTAGGGAAAGACATTGTAGGTGTATATGACATACATTGCGGAAATCATCAAACTGCATCACGAGGCAAGCCCTAACTTGGAATCCTGAAGGTAAACAGGAAAGAGGAAGACGAAGGAACATATTGCATCGTGAATCGGAAGCAAACATGATAAAGATGAATAGCAACTGGAAACAACTAGAAAGGATTGTCCATGACAGTATTAAATGGAAAATGCTGGTGGGTGGCGGCCGATGCTCCTCTACGAGAAGTAACAGGCGTAAGTAAGTAAGTTTAATTCTGTGTGATCAAACTTACTACAGTACCGTTTCGTTTGAATAAATTTGTATTGAATTTCTGTAATAAATGTATTTGGATTGGAAGCTTTTCTAGTTGTACAACTGATTGTATATTATATGCTGGGCAAATATCTGTTAAATGTAAAAACAGTTTTGTGTAGAATAAAAATTACAATGGGATTACATGGATTGATAATCCGTTAAAAAAGGAATTCAAAATCTGTAACTTACATCAAAGACTGACCGTAGCTAGATAATCACCGACAACAGGTGGGGCCTAGTAGCTAATCCATCTTAGTATAAGGCTGAATAACAATGTTCAACCATGATTCAAACAGGGGTCGAACATAAAACTTCTAGTCAATGCATTGAACGGTAAACATTCTAACTATTTATTTGTCATCCAATAGTTATCTTACTAAAGTCAGTCTATCAAGTAGACTACACGTTGAACACTTTAGAGAAATCTCCTATTATTACTAATAATATAAATCTATCTCGTTTGTTCCATACAACTTTATCAGTTGAGATGGCTGGGACACATGTTACGTATGCTCAGCCACCGACTGCCCAGACGTGCGATGTTTTGTGATGTAGGAGTAGGAGTAGGTTAGAAGAAAGCTAGGGGTGACCAGATCAAAACATGGCACAAATCCATGAAGTCACTGACAAGTGGACTGAGTCATGTTGCTAGGTGTAGACTATCTGGTTGGGATCCACGAGACGATAACAACCGATGGTTAGAGACGTTGAATGACATGGCGAAAAATCGTTTGCAATGGTGTGCGCAGGTGCATCTACTCTTTGTGTTCTCCTAAATTCTAATCTTCTGAATTCTTCATGTCCCTTTCTTTTTTTCGTCTTTCCAAATTTATTTCATTAGATTATACTCCTTGAATAACATCGTTAAACCCTAATGTTTCCGACTACTGCTTATACTCTTACTACCTCTACCACTATAGGATTTGAATCGACAATTGTATCTCTGTGATAATGTGGTATGGCAACTCGAACTGATGTACGTACGTACGAAGTTCTACGTTGTTACTGACTGACTGACTGATACAACTTAATCCGTTGATAAATCTAACCAAAGCAAAAGCAACAGGATTGATAGACTCAAATAGATTCGTTCCGTTCTAAGGCTTGTTATTAGCTGCAAACAGTAGGTAGAACATTATTTGTAAAATAAGAAAAATGGTTTATTGAAGCTTATAAAGAAGCACTGATCATCAAAATTTGAAATCACTAGATAGTTTTTACGTTCTAGTATTGGACTCTTCAGTGGTTGTATACATCAACGACTCCGCCATCAATGATCAAACGTAGAAACTTTGGTCTTGCAAGTTAATACTTCACTTCCTGTTGGGGACGATAGATCCCCAAACTCATATTTTTAAATTTTATCGCATCGATCAACTTATTGATTAAATGTTTAAATATTTGTATTAGGGTCAATTGATGAACTGATCGATTAAATGGTTGAATAGCAGTCAATTGATGAACTATCGATTCAATGGGCAAACAGGTCAATTTATGAACTCATTGATTAGTGTTTGAAAATTTTCTATGACAATATCGATTATATATATATATATATATATATATATATATATATATATATGTTTAAATTGTGTTTGAGTGCTTGCTCGCTGCTCGCTTGCTTGCTTGCTTGTTTGCTCGCTCGCTTCTGGCTGTTGCAGAATATATTTTCCATACCAAGCCTGGACTTCTTCTTCTAGATAGCGGGGCTGGGACGCGTCAATAGTTAGATCACTGGTCTTTGGTCACTGAGTATTGTTCTCGTTCGCGGTTTAAGTGAACTCGTGAAGTTTCAAACATAACACTTCCAGAATACTAATCTGGATCCACTGATTATCTTAATAAAGTTAAGCAACTTCTATAACCTCCAATTTGATCATTATCATGTTCTCACTAAAGACTTGTTTTGAGAATAAATTTTTGGGGCCTCATTAAAAGACGTGACTAACAAAGTTCAGCAATGTCAAATGTCTTGAAGGTACCATAGAAAACAATACATTAGGTTAATGCAACATATTCAATTAAGTGAAGTAAAACTTGTGTATCAGCGGATATTGGATCCGTGGTACAGAAGTGAAACGTTAATGTACAAGACCAAAGGTATCTACAACAATGAGTTTCACAAATCTATCTATCTAGTTTGTTATTGACTGTAAACCGATAATGTTACTAACCAACACATTAAAATGTAAATAAACATATTTGTAACAGTAAACAGTTCAAACAAAACTAACCTTTAATCTTTGTTCCAAAATGATTTCCACTTCTGACAAAATATTGTTGCTAAATCAATATTAGAAATGTAAAAAGAACAGGTTAGAGTTAATTTGATTCCAAGTAGGCGCTTGCCTAGTGATGCAGTTTGATGATATCCACAATATACGTCTTTTCCATCTCTAATATCGATTTCCTAAAATCCTCTTCAATTGGAAGCTTGATTTCTCTCTCCAACAGTAAGCTGTTACAAAGGGGAACCGAATACATATGCACCACACAAGTCACTTGATTTGTGTGTGGACTGTGATACTACCTGGGTTCTCAGACTGAAACAGGTGGTTGCCTTAGGGGACCGCACTCGAAGCCTTCGACCTAAAGGTCTGATCCACAAGGTAGTGGAGCGACACGAGGAGACGCAATCCTATGGTAGTCGTGATATGATGGAAAGAAAAGTTAATTTTAGATTGAATTACTCATTATGAGTTTGATTCAACGTGAGGATCATTCAGTGTAGTATTTGATTTGTTTTCCCAGTATGATATTTTCTTCTGTATAATATACGATATTCTTGTATTCCATTGACATGAACTATGCTCATTAAGTGATTTGTTATAACTGAGTATGGGATCTAATCCTAATTATTAATTAAAATGGGTGTACAATCAATGTAGAAACCAGCGTATTTGAGACTAGATTCGATTCGTTGTCGTCATGGTGTTTAGGGCTAATAAATCTTCACTTATACCAGTCTTTGTGTTCTTACCTTCGCATCCTGGGGATTACCGAGGTCTCTCATTCCGAGTATAAGTGATCAACGTTTTTCGGCACAACAATTGCGATGATCAAATATAACATAATGTTTTCTTGTAACTATGGCCACTATCGAGATATCCAATTACGGAGCCTATATACTACCAGAGATCAATCAAATTCAACTCTGAATATTTTGGTAGTATTATATTGTTTGAGACGAATAGTTTAATTGTAAATGAGTTATTTCATCTTGAAAGTGATCTGAGCATTCAGAAATGAGTTTTTTTTCCGAAATCCATTATTATTATTATATATTTCAATAATAATCATTCATATTGTCAAGTTGGAGTCAGATCCCGGGCCACTAAAGTGGACAGCCCATCAACAAACATTGTCTAAATGACGACAAAATATTCACCTTAACACTTCTTAATCAGCGATCTAGTGATGAAGTGCTCGCGCGTGAAACTAGTAGGTCCTGGGTTCGAATCTCGCAGAGGGCGTGGTCACAGATGTGCACTGCTGAGGAGTCCCACAATAGAACGAAATCCCCGTTCAGTGCTTCCAGGTTATCCATGGTGGTCTAGCTTCAACTGACTTATGATCTTAACCATTGAAATTATCATATTTGTTAAATCGCTTTGAATAAGACTGTATAGCTTCCATAGATGGTGTCATTCATAATAAAATCTTTATTGATTTGTATTCATTTTCAGATATATAAACATTTGTATGTATCTATCCTCCTTAATTAGTAATATATAATGAGGTAATCAACTCTCATTGATCTGATTACATTTATGGTAATCAAACATTTGTACGCTATGAACATTTTTAGTTATCATATGTTGTGTGCTACTCATATCGACAGATATAAGTAGTATGTATCATTAATCGGAAATGAAATGCCTCGAAGCAGAAGATTGAGAGAAATCAAAGAGTAGAGAATATAGAACAGAGAATAACTGATATGAAAATGATGAAATAACAAAGTCTGTATTGTTATCATTGAAATAGATTTGATTGTTCTCACTGATATTCTTGTATAATGAAAGGTTTCTATCATATTGTATTTCATTAATTTTTTCTGGTTAGTGTTTTTTTAGAGGGTTAGTTTTCTACGGGATAGATTCGCTAACCACATGCCCAACCCTCCTCCTATATCCGGGCTTGGGACCGGCAGTAGCCCCTGGAGGGACTCCAGGCGGAGAGCTTCGAAAGCCATCATCCAGAAGATACAAGTGTTTATTAACAGTTGTCTATGCAAAATACTCCGGACACTATTAGCAACAACCAACTATGAGAAAGAACAAACCAGATCTCAGCGGAGGAGGAAATCAGGAAGAAACGCTGAAAGTGGATAGGACACACATTGAGGAAAGCACTCAACTGCGTTACAAGACAAGCTCTCACATGGAATACTCAACGCTAAAGGAAAAGAGGAAGACCAAAGAACATATTACGTCGAGAAATGGAGATAGACATGAGAAAAATGAACAAGAATTGGATGGAACTAGAAAAGAAGGCCCAGGACAGAGTGAGTTGGAGAATGCTGGTCGGCGGCCTATGCTCCATTGGGAGTAACAGGCGTAAGTAAGTAAGTATTTCATTAAGTCAAAAAATAAACAATGGAATCATTATCAGAAGGGGTTTTGTGGAGATTTTAGAAATTTCACTAGTTGAAATTATGAGTCAATTGAAGCTAGTGAAATTACTACAATCTCCACAAAACTCCTTCTAATAATAAACATCGTATGCTCAATAGTGACTGACTTCAAGACACACTCCTGGAGTTCTAGTGAGAAGCCGTGACCAGTGAAATTCAACCAGGTCTGTTGTAAGATATCAGCTCACTGATGATAACGGTGACGGTAGCGCAATTTTTTGTGGATTGATTGAAATTGAATCATTTGTAAGTTTCGTTCTAGTTCTTACTTAACATATGAGGCCTATACCATAACTTATCCTTTATCAATTTATTTGACTCAATATATAAGTAAGCTGAATATAAATTCAATAACTTACTTGTATACTAATATACGAATGAAACTTTGGTCCAACAATAATAGATTGATCATTATTATCCATATTGAATTGTTGCCTAGGTGAACAATTTTGGTTTTGTACAGTTAAATAAAATCCAACATAACCTTTATTTGGTATTATGTAATCATATTCTTGTGGATCCAATATTAATTTCAATTCAGCATCTATCATGAAAAGAAATCATAGAGGGATGAATGAACCATTTGGATTGAAATGAACTAAATAAACATGAAATGGGTTACTTTACAATGATCAATCCATTAAAATATCTTGATGTAACCAGTATTAGACTGAATGACTCGATGGTAATGTGTCAGACTACGGAACGGGATAACTTGAGCTTGAACCCACTAGACAGTATTAGTTGCTTTGAGATTTTGAAACACAGATATATATATATCCAATAATATAAAGGAAATATGAGAATAAAAGTCATGTGAATGGGATTGATTACAACTAACTTTAGCCTGTTACTCCTCGTGGAGGAGCATAGGCCGCCCACCAGCACTCGCCATCCAACCCTGTCCTCGGCAATCCTTTCCAGCTCCCTCCAGTTGTTATTCATCCTTTACAGATCTGCTTCTATTTTCCGACGTAATGTGTGCTTTAGCCTTCCTCTTTTTTTGCTTCCACTCAGGATTCCAAGTTGGGGCTTGCCTCGTGATGCAGCTTGATTATTTTCGTAATGTATGTCCTATCCATCTCCATCATTTTTTCATAATTTCTTCTTCAGCTGGAAGTTGGTTTGCTCTATCCCACAGAAGGCTATTGATGATGGTATCCGGTCAATGGACGTTGAGTATCTTGAGTAGACAACTATTTATAAATACTTGTACCTTCTTGATGATGGTTGTTGTAGTTCTCCACATTTCAGCTCCGCGCATTAGAACTATCTTGACGTTCGTATTGAAGATTCTCACTTTGATATTGGTTGATAGACAGTCGTTTTGAGTTCCATATATTCTTCAATTGTAGTAATGTGGTTCTTGCTTTGCGAATCCTCGCCTTCATGTCTGCATCTGATCTTCCTTGTTCATCAATGATGCTTGCCAGGTATGTGAAGGATTCTACATCTTCCAAAGTTTCTCCATCAAGTATGATTGTGTTGGTATTGTCCGTGTTGTATTTGAGGACGTTGGTTTTCCCCTTGTGTATGTTGAGGCCTACTAAAGCAGAAGCTGATGCTACACTAGCTATCCTCACCTGCATTTATTCGTGTGTATGGGAGTGATTACAAACAATTACAAATATATGTGTTTGACAATTAGTCACTTTTCAAGTAAACTTTCTCAATATGTTTTTTGAATAGTTATATTTTTGTCGTTCACAATATGGTGTATGCTACTGATGTTGACAGATATATAAATACCATGTATCAGCAATCGAAGGTTGAATGCCTTAAAGCAGAAGATTGAGAGAAATCGAAGAGAAGAGAATACGGAACAATGAGTGATTGATATGGAAACGAAGGAACAACAAAGTCTTTGATTTTATCAAGATTTTCTGCAATGTTCTATTCAAATACATTTGATTGTTCCCATTGCTGTTCTCATTCACTACAGTTAGTCAGTTAGTAACAACGTAGAACTTCGTATGTACGTACATCAGTTCGAGTTGCCATACCACATTATCACAGAAATACAATTGTCGATTCAAATCTCATAGTGGTAGAGGTAGTAATAGTATAAGCAGTAGTCAGAAACATTAGGGTTTGACGATGTTATTCAAGGAGTATAATCTAGTGAAACAAATTTGGAAAGAGGAAGAAAAGAAAGGGATATGACAAATTCAGGAGATTAGAATTCGGGAGAATACACAGTGTGGATGCACCTGCGCGATAAATAATGCAAGTTGGCAAATGCTAGTCGAGCTTTTTGTATCTGTGCTAAGATTTCGTCACACACCAGACCACTAGAGCTGATGAAACTCTCAAGATAAGTGAAGCGGTCGACACGCTCAACTACTTCACTCCTTATCATTAATTCGAGTGTCGATACAACCCAATCCTGAAGTAACATTATGTATTTCGAGTGGGAGAACCGCATTCCACTCACTATACTAAAACTCAACTATGTATTGGGATTTTACATATTCTGTACTGAGAATGTTTGTAATGAATATAATCAAAATATGGTACTGAAAAGCTATTATCATTATTGATATCATTAGTTGAGATACCATTGACAACAAAAATCAACTTAGTAATGGATTCTTCAGTAACGATGTACTAAAAGAAGACATGGTGGAAATCATACATTAAATACATCGTTTCGACCTCTTCTTCGGTTTTTTTTTCTTTACATACTCTATTATTCTTTCAATTCTATTGTCGCTATGTTTTCCTTCCTCCTCTCTCTAGTTCAATCTTCTGCTGGTAAGGATTCCACTTCTTATCCCTACTATATACTACTTATATCTGTCCGTATAATTGGCATACATCACACCGGAAATCATCAATCTTACAAGGAATTTTAATTCACGATTAGTAGACCTCAAGTCATAACTCATCTTTTAACTAGTTTTCGAAATAGTGTCTACAACTAGGCGGTCTGAATTTTTGACAAGGTCATTGTATTTGATCTTGAGGATTCCCACTCATTTGTAATCCTGAAGGCCAAAGGAAAAGAGGAAGACCAAAAAACACATTACTTCGAGAAATGGAGACAGACATGCGAAGAATAAACAACGATTGGATAGAACTAGGAAGAAAGGCTTAGGACAGGGTGGGTTAGAGAATGCTGGTCGGTGACCTATGTTCCATTGAGGGGTAACAGACGTAAGTAAGCAAGGCATTATGATTGATTCAAACAACCTATCCAAATCATGACGGAATGGAAACGATCAGCTTCCTGTAGTGAATCTTTTCAGTAACCTCAATTTAAGTTAAACTTGAGGATAGTGTGATTGAAGTGATATAATTTGTCGATTATTACGATGCATTTTTAAATAATCCTGACTTGTTCTATGATATGATACGATGAAAATGTGCGTAGAGTATTAATCCATAAATGGATCCTAAAAGTTACCATTCATTATACTTGTCAGAACCTAACACTGAATATAACCATACTTACTATCAGATGATATAAACATATACGAAATTTAAGGCAATATCGAGGCATACGCGCAGTATGCATATATGCCAATAAGAGACTGATTAATTTCAGTCCTAAAACATCAATCGGAAGATTCAAGTAAAACAATATCAAATGAATTAAACTTCAACCCATTGCACAAGCAAGTGGCTATCAGGACTCAGTAGCTAAGTGGATAACGTGATTGCGTTTGAAGCGAACGGTACTGGGTTGGAGTCCCAGAGTGAACATCAACTCTGAGATGCAGGTACATCCAGCTGACGAGTCCCAAACAGGACGAAACGCGCGTCCTGGATTCCATTGCCAGCCACTATCCATCTTTGCCAATAATTATGCTTGTAAATTAAGGCAATATCGAGGCATACGCGCAGTATGCATATATGCCAATAAGAGACTGATTAATTTCAGTCCTAAAACATCAATCGGAAGATTCAAGTAAAACAATATCAAGTGAATCTACGAAATTTGTTTATGATGAACAGCAAAAGAGTTGTAATCAGTTTGATGAAAAAGTCCTTAACTATGAGCTGGGAGCTTCTGATGGATCACAATTCACATTGAGATTATATGTGTAATTATTGACTTAAATTTAAACACATATAACTACAATTCAGTGAGTTTTGTAGATATTATACAATCTTTATAGTCTATGTCATGAACCAATCTAAGCTAGATTACCATAGGAAACCATGAAATAAACAGCTGTTCCATTCCAGTATAGAACTTATCAGCCGGGTCGTCGACATGTACCATTGACAAGATCTATACTATGAAGAAACGGCAGTTTAGGGCTTCCAAGTTTTCAGTAATGGATTAGTTAAGATCAATTTGATTTAAATGATCAAAAAATATATAGCTAGATCTAAATATTTAATAATTTACCGGTTTTGATTATGTACTCTCAAATTGTTATGAATGACTGAAAATAATATAACTATTGAAGATAGCTTATAACAAAGTAATTTCAGTAGTTGAGATCATGATGACAATGGTGGATGTATCGCTCAATTTCATGGATTATTTGAAGTTAGACATTAACACTGTTGGATTCCGGCTCAGTGGTCTAGTGGTTAAGCGCTCACGCATTAGACTGATAGGTCCTGGGTTCGAATTTCGCCGGAGGGGGCGGGGTTGTAGATGCACACTACTGAGGACTCCTACAATAGGACAAAACGGCCATCAAACAGTGCTTCCAGGTTTTCCATAGCGGTCTTTTTTATATTATAATAAAGTCACTGTAAAACATTCTCTATCAGAAAATTCACTACCAAAATTTAAATTCAGGAAAACAAACGTTTCAGTATTCTTTTTTATTGAGATCATGAACCGAATGATGTTAGATCACCATTGAAAACCTGAAAGCACTGGACAGACGTTTCGTCCTATTAAGGGACTTCTCGGCAGTGCGCATCCATGATCCCCCCATCGCGGGATTCGAACACAGGGCATTCAGTCTCGCACGCAAACGCCTAACCTACTGGATCACTGAGCCGGCATCCAATATTAATTTTAATATAAAGAAAGTAAAATTAAAACATTAAAATATCACTTACTTCTAGAAAAATTCAAATGAAATTGATAACACCATCCATGTTTTGTAAATATTGAGATAAAATCATTAATTGTACAATGATCATCACCATACTGACAACTGAAATGGTATAAATCAACTGTTGTGTAAAGATCAAAACAAATTGAATGTAACCGGAAAATATGAAGTCTACTAGTTGAGTTCATGAGTCAACGTAAGCTAGACCATCGTTGATAACCTGGAGGTATTAGACAGCCGTTTCATCTTAGTATACAGTTCCTCAGCAATATGTATCTGTTCAATGCTTTCAAGTTTTCAATGGTGATCTAGTTTACATCGACTCATGAATTCAACTATTAAAATTACTACAAAACTCACTAACCGCATTCTGTTAAAAAAGAATAGGAAGTTTAACAAACAATGATATGTATCTTATATGTATAATAAAACTATATTCTATTGATAAATTAAAGCATGGAATAGTGTTTCAATGGGTAGTCTTTGAGTTACTTGAATGTATATATCATTTGTGCACTGAATGGCGTGATGGAAGTTAGCTGTTTGCTTCAGACAACCAGCATAACAGCAATGCTACCTTCTCACAAGCAAGGGTAGGATTAGAATAGGTCGATCCTAAAAGGCACACCTCGCTTTATCCCATGGATATCCGTCTCCGGCGGTAAGATCTCGCCAAGTACGGAGCTAACACTAAAATTACTCACATAAAGTTCATGTGTGACCGACCTTAAGAAGTTATCCCTTGGGCACTGCGGTCACGTTTTTAGGTAACTAAGACAACCTCTAATCTAATTTCCTCTCCAGGTACCTCCAGAAGAACCCTTCCACGGTGTGGGCAGCCGGGAACTGATAACCGCCCTCATACTTCTAACGGCACTCAAGACCACTGTATTCATAATCAACCTCCCTCTTCACGCTGAATGGTTGAGGTCAATTCAGATAAATATTTTGGTCTGTTGAAATTAAAAAATTAAGTAACGGAAAGAAGTGAATCATTTTACGGTTTACACCACAGAATGATCATAGTTAAACAACTACTAAAAATAAAGAAGCATTGAACAGTTGACTCGTCTATGTATGAAACTCCTCTGAAATCCGCATTTATAACCATAGCCGAAGATCGAACTTATATTCTTTAGGTATTACTGAGAGCTCATAACCTTTAGATCATTGAGTTGGTTTCGAATGATTCATATTTTCAACCTCAGTTAGATCTCAACATTTGTAATCATAACTAAATGTCATTAATAAGTAACTGTCTCACATACCCATTACAGTGCGGCTTCAATGATCACAGGTTTAGATGATTACTACCAGTATACAGTAAATCACTGTTACATTATTTCATCTAACAACACACATACTACTGATTAAACATCTTTCATTAAGTCATATTCTTCAAGTGTTTAATGACAACTCGTCATCAAATTAAGATTCCTTCAATCAATCAATTAAGGTGTAAGCTAGATTCAAGATGAACTAGTTATCAGTAGTTTGATATTGATTATTGGAAAGCAAATATTTCAGTGAACAAGAACACCAATAGGAACAATCGATTATATTTCAGTACGAAATTACAGAACATCTCACTAAAATCTGAAAACTAAATATTATTATCAGAATGGGTTTTGTGGAGATTTTTAGAAATTTCAACCCGCGAGGTGAGGGGTCGTGGATGCGCACTGCTGAGGAGTCCCATACCAGGAAGAAACGGCCGTCTAGTGCTTCAAGGTTTTCCATGGTGGTCTAGCTTCAATTGACTCATGATTTCAACTTGTGAAACTAAATATTAATCCATCATCTCAAACTTGACTATTCCTGTAGTAAACATCAATCCATTGTCTCAGATTTCATTGTTCATGCATTTTCATATCAATTGCGTTCCGTTGCCATTCTTTCTTTATTGACCTTCTACTGAAATATATTCTATGCCTGACCACCATTACATACTACTTGTGTGGATAAAAGTAACCCACACCATAATATGAGAATAATACAGTGACTCAATCTCTCCATAAACATATAGATATTCTTTAAAACAGATGAATTGTGGTTTGTGATGAGATCCATACCGTGCGTTTTTTCTCCTATTCGCATGTCAGTATTGATGTTCTTGCTGGGGCTAGAACTAAGTATCCATCCTTAGCTTTAATTGATATAGTGCGACTTACTGAACTAATGATTATAGGTAGCTATTAACTTGATTCATTGGTATAACCTTTTTAACCATTCTTAGTATTGGTTTGAATTATTCGCTTGTAGATATTCAGGATGAATATCTTCTTTATCAGTCTTTGCTAGTATATACATATCCTCAGCATCTCACTCCAACAGTGATCCATCCTGTCATGAATTTGTCACAATTTGAACCCATAACATGGATGATATGAGTAGTATACTCATTGATCAAGTTAATAGTGATCTAAATCTAGTAACTCAGCGAACTACCTATTTACTACTTATTATTATTGATACTTTATTTATTTATTTAATTAAACACATAGATATTGGTACAAGGAGGCACTAAATAAATATGTGCCACATAAATCATTCGATGTATATGAGGGCCGGGTGCCCAAACTGAAGCAGGTGATTTTCTTAAGAGGTCATTCCATGAGCCAATCACCTAGAGATCTGATTCACAAGACAATAGAGCAACGTAAGGAGATGCAGTTCCATGGTAGCCAGTGACAGACGATTGGTTAATACACCATTTGTTCCCTCAGGATACTAGAACCAGCCCATGTGCACCATTGGTTTGGAATGAGAGTTTTCCAACTCTCCTAGATGAACTCTCCATGTCTATCAATCCCGATTAAAACGTCGGACATTCACTTTTCATCCTCACAATTTCATAAACAACACAACTGTCTTAAATGAATATTTACCTTTTATTATTGACCTTTAATGATATCACATTTTTAGAATAAATAATTATGGGAAATTTAAGATGGGAAAATCTCTAGAGAATCAATCTTATTCAATCATATGGGATATATATGTGAAAATTTCTACTTCTATCATCCTGTTATACTCATATATCCCTAATATTACCTGTAATGAATGAAAGTGTTATGACCTCATGAAGGTTTACCATAAATAAATAAAAAACAAGTGGCAAATTAGATCATGACCATTAGGATTATCTATTTGGTTTAAACAAACAAACAAACAAACAGTAAATTAAGGCTTGTTTACTATTAAGTATAGTTCTATAGCTTTTAAGGTATCTATACCCTTTATTGTTAATCGTTTTACAGAATAAGATTCATGTTTCATATCGGTTCATAAATGATTTATTTGACCTTGATAATGATGAATAGTTAATGAAGTAAACTAACCATTTTTTTTATAATTAATTATGATGAAAATGAAAGAAATACGATTACTATTGAAGAGCTCTACATAAGGACGAAACAACCATCTATTACTTTTAGGTTTTCCATGGTAGTTAAGCTTTAATTAACTCAGGATTTCAACTATTAAAATTATTATAATATCTACAAAAAACCCTATTCTGTTAATTCCATATGTTTAATTCAATGTGATAATGATGATTTGGATGATGATGACTTCGCTGTCAGTGGCTATATATGTGTGTGGCCATGCAAGAATATTTGGAAAGGGAGAGTGGACTCTCTCTTTCTCTCTTTCTCTGTCTCTACCTTCGGTCGTACCAGGGCATATCAAATATATAAACTACTAGCTAATGTGAGAACAATTTTATTTAAATTGTTGACTTTACAGCTTCACATCACTAACTAACTATAGATAATAAAAAGTAACGGAATAATCATTTCGTCCTAGTTTTGAACTCATCAGAAGTGTTCATCTATGATTATTTAAATTTAATTATGTCGGGGTGAGAAAAACATTATCAACTTCTATAAGCTATTATTTTATAACCTCACGAATTGACTGAAATTAAACGTATAAACCAATCAACGCAAGCTAATGGTTTTAAAGATTAACGCCTTACTTCTATATATGATGGTTCTGGTTTTAACATGTTGTGGTATTATCAGTTTAGGGGTTGTGGAGATTGTTAAGTTTTTTTGATTGAGATCATGAACCGATTGGTGTTAAACCACCATAGAAAACTTGAGAGCACTAGATGGCCGTTTCGTTCTATTGTGAGACTCCTTTGCAGTACGCATCCACGAACCCACGACCTATTATTCTTGCGCGCGAACGCTTAAACACTAGATCATTGAATCAACATTCAACGGTGTTAATATCTTACTTCAACCAATTCACAAAATTGAGCAACATATCCACTATTGTCATCAATGAGTTACTGTCTCACAGCAGGCTCATTTGAACTCCACTATTCATTGTTTCTCACTAGAACTTCAAGAAATACCTCTTGAAGCCAGTCACTAATAAGCATATGTTGATTAATATCATAAGAGTTTAGAAGTTAAGCGCTCCCTAACGAAGAGTGTTAGTTCCTGGATTCAAATCTTTTTGAGTCAGGATCATGGATGTACACTACTGAGGAATCTCACAATAGTACGATACAATCATCAAACAGTACTTTCAAGTTTTCTATAATAGTCTATGTTTAATTGACTCATAATTTTAACTATTAAAATTATCAGATGAGTTCTGTGAATGTTATAATAATTTCAATGGTTAAGATCATGAGTTAGTTAAAGTTAGACCACCATGGAAAATATAAAAGCAATGAATGACTGTTTCGTCCTATTGTGGGATTCTTCAACGGTGTCCTGATTCATGATCTTAACCATTGAAATTATTAAAATTATATTGATTTATTTATTTGTAAATCTGAATCAAAAAAGAGAATCCAAGTTTATTATTTTGTGTGTGTGTGTGTGTGTGCATATAAATGTGGCACGAAAAAAAATAAAGAAAAAAAAAGAAGAAAAAACAATTTTTCTCTCAAATATGTTTTTTTCTCCTTTTTTTCTTTTCTTTATAAAATTAATTAAAAGTTTCCCCTTGACTGATTTTTATTGATTTTTAAAACAATCAAATTGTTTCACATCGGTGTTTTATGCCTTTTTTTTTAATAAAAAAAACTTATATAATACAGTTTTCTTTCTTTTTTTTCTAAAAAAAATGTTTTAAACACTTCAATGAAATTATACATCAACCTAGTAACAAATCATTTTTATTTTTGTTTCTTGGGGGAGCGATGACAAGAGAAAGGGGTGAGGGTTGGGAGTGGGTGTGGGAGATGGAGTGAGAGAGGGGGTAAGAAGAAAACGAATACATCTCAATGTTTCAATTAATATCCACTTATATTATTGACCATTATAAATAGTTATAAATAAATGGTGTTATTTTACAACTCTAAGGTTAATTAAATCTGTTTATAGAAGAAAAAAAATTTATCAGCATCAAGTGTGCAATTTATGTAATTTATTTTGTTGATTTGAACTGTTGAAAGAATGTTGATGATTTGGTTCGTTTGTGAATGAGTTTTATAAGAATGTGGGAAGAGTATGCTCTCCCTTTCGACATGTAATCAGATGAAGACGAGTATACAGTCACTGACTGAGACGTCCTACTCACCAATTTCTCGCGGCTAGAATGTTCTTTACGAAACTGAGAGGACAAAAAGCGAATTTCCGACGCTTTAATCGAGCTAATGACGACGGAGAGTCTACCTGGGAGAATCAGAAAACCCTGATTTCAAACAAATGGTTCATATGGGCTTCATAATCCTAAGGGAACAAATGAACCAATTGTTGATTCTCGGCTACCATGATACTGCATCTACTAACTTTGCTTCACTGCTTTGAGGATTAGACCTCTTGGTGAAAGGCTCGTGGAATGGCCATCTAAGGAAATCAATTGCTTCAGTTTAAGTGACCAGACAGTATCTCAGTCCTCACATAAATCGAATGATTTATGTGGCGCATAAGTATTCCGTGCCTCCTTTGTATCAATATTTATTTGGTTAAATACATAATAAATAAATAACTGACATTGTATGATATCACTCATTAAAATCTTATACCTTTATTCATCACAGAAAGATTTGAAGAATTATAAGTCAGCTGGTTCCCTTCAGATTATATATTTGGTAACTAATGATAATATAGCATGATTCCTATCGATGAACAATGTAGTCACATCAATTTGATGACAGTCATGTCATAAATTATAGATGGAACTTCACGTAATAAATGTTCTTTTATACAAAATGAAACATGAATTAGTGTATAAGTTGGGACCTTAAGTGAAATCTTCGGTAAGAAATCCTACTTAATGAAATAATACACTTGGAAACAATGATTATTCACAGAGGCGTTTTGTGGATATTATGATCATCTTAATAATTGAATTCATGAGTCAATTTAAGCTAGAACACTATGAAAAACGTGAAAGCACTAGACGGCGTAACTTTGTGGATTGATTGAAGTTAGACATTAATACCGTTGAGTGCCGAATCAGTCAGTAGTCTAGAAGTTAAGCGTTCGTGTGCGAGACCGATAGGTTCTGGCTTCGAATCTCGCGAGGCGGGGTCATGGATGCACACTATTGAAAAGTCCGTCTAGTGCTCACAGATTTTCTATCGTGACTCATGAGTTCAACTATTATTCAGCAGATCAACTGTAATGATACTTTCAATTTTACTATTTATCATATGAACTGACAATTAAATAAAAAACTGTTCTATTGAAAACATAAGATTCGCGATTCTGCTAAATAATAATCTAACTTCATTATAATTATCCAATGTTATTTCATTCAGATTCACTTGGTGTTGTTTTACTTGTATCTTCCCATTGTTATTCAGGACTACAATTGATCAGTTTCACGTTGGCATATATGTATCCTGTGAGGATTGCTTCGATATTGCCTAAAGTCACACGTTTTTTAAGCAAAGATGAATAGTAGCTATCAGTGGAATCCAGGATACACGTTTCTTTCTAGTTGGGACTCGTCAATTGGATGTACCTGTATCTCAGAGTTGATATTCACTCCGGAACTCGAACCCAGTGCCGCTCGTTTCAAGCGTCCTGGATTCTACTGCTAGCTACTATCCATCTTTGCTTGAAACGTTATTTCATTCAGTTACTTTTAATCCTAATAACCTTCCTGAGATTTTTGTATTAACCAATGTATATAAATGAGCTTACACTTTGTTAAACATAAGGCTTGACCATCTACCTTTTCAGTTGGTTAACTTGTTATTATTCTAGATTATTTATTCAGTAGTAAAATCAATTATTCTATTAGTCAAATGTATACAATGTTATATATCTGTTTCCAATATTGAACATGTGTGTGATATCAAGCTTTTCCTGTTTATTTGATGTGTATATGTTTGATAAATAGAAGAATGAAATCTTTACTATGGAGTTCATTTCAAGAAATAAATTTCACTGGTGAGACTATAGTTTATGGACGACATTTGAGTAACGCTAAAGTGACCTTGAAGGTGTCCATCTAATAACTAGGACCAAATGAGGGTTATGAATCAGTGTGAGGAATTCAAATTACGATATACAATGGATGATTAAGGTTAGATATTAAATTTAGGGTTTTCATCATGAATCGATATCTATTTAGTTAAATGATTGAATGAATTTCGAGCCCAAATGCGAGACTTATTATCTTAAATCTGATTGATTCATTCATAGATTATAATCAACCAACACCAAAGTCAAAATTTTCAATATAAATGTCAAGACAATTCTACAGTATTGGGCGGAAACTCGGAGAACTACGATAGCCATCATCAAGAAGATACAAGTGTTTATTCAGTTGTCTACACAAAATACTTCGGATCAGTTGACCAGAGACTATCAGCAACAAGATTCCAGTGGAAGAAGAAATCAGGAAGAAGCTCTGGAAGTGGATAGGACACACATTGAAGAAAGCATCCAACTGTATCACAAGGCAATCCCTCAAATGAAACCCTCAAAATCAAAGGAAAAGAGGAAGATCAAAGAACACAATACACCGAGAAATGGAGTCAGACATCAGAAGAATGAACAACAATTAGATAGAAAACCTAGGACAGAGTGTGGGTTGGAGAATGATGGTCGGCGGTCTATGCTTCATTAGGAGTAACAGACGTAAGTAACTAAGTAATGATTATTAACATCCAATAAAAGTTAAAATAGAAATAGAAATAATTTACCTTTTCAATGTTGTTGAAAGTGGATGAGCCATTTGTTTAATTTGCTCTGGTGTTAAATATGTATCATTTAATAGATTGATTATATCAATTTTACCATATTTTTCAATTAAATAAGTATAAATATCACTTCCATTGATTAAAGAAAATAAAGCGGATAATCTAAGGGAATACCAACAAAAGAAAGAAAGAAAGAAAAACAAATCAATAAAGGTATCTTCATTATAATCAAAGGGGGGGGGTTTGTGGAGATTGTAGTAATTTCAATAGTTGAGATCATGAGTCAATTGAAGTTAGATGACGATGGAAAACCAGCCGTTTGATCCTAGTCTGGGACTCTTCAGCAGTACGCATCCACGATCCCACTTCGCGAGATTCGAACCCAGGACTGGATTAAAAAACAGTCGGTAAATTAATTATAATTGTGTTCTCTTTCAACCTCGGTTTATTTATTTGGTATCGACTAATGATAGAAGTAAACTGGTTAGAAGGAAAAAGAGGTCAGTCTTGAAAAAAAAACACATTTAGTTTGTGGAATAATACATGCTTCTGTATGGTATTATAGAAGGAAAATCATTATGATAAAATTCTGAAACTTTATTAAGATAACTCCAAAAACGCTGTCATCAGTTCTACTTTACTTGGAATTCAACCAAGGACAATCACTGCTTGACATCAGGATGGATTGCTTGCTCTTATTCAAATGGACTGATTGTGAAGCTTTCATTGACATCTGAAGTGAACGCTGATGATGCTGTTGTAGAACAATAATAGCTTTTTTACTTACTCACACCTGTCACCCCAATGGAGCATATGAAGACAACCAGCACTTTACAACCCAATCTTTTCTGGACCTTCCTTTCTACTTCTATCCAATTGTTGTTCATTCTTCTCATATCTGTCTCAATTTCTCGGTGTAATGTGTTCTTTGGTCTTCGTCTTCATCTGTGAAGACTTATTCATCCAGCTGCAGCCTAGATGACCACTGTATCCCATACTTTCCCCCCTCCAGATGTTGACGTCTTTATGACCCAGCGGATCACCAGGAGAAAGAGAAAGGGTGAGATTAAGCAACCTTGCTTGACACCAAATTTTACTTCAAACGAGTCTGTGAGCTGTCCGCCATGCACAGTTTCACTGTTGAATCCATCATAAGAATTCCATATGATGTTGACTATCTTCTCACGCATGGTATAGTGTCGTAGAATCCTCTATAGTATTGTCCTATCCACTCTATCAAATGCTTTCTCTTAGTCAATGAAGTTGATACTTCACGAATAAACAATTCAAATGAAAGAATGTAACAGTACTAGACGTTGATTTACTAGTGACCTTTTTGTTATAAACCAGATATTTAAATGAGTTTCAATACATTGTTTACTTATTAAATCTTTTTGTTTATTATGCATAGATGTATAAAGCTTAAAATGAATGAGTTGACTTCTTATTCATTATTGATTTTGTTTTTTGTATCCCGGATAATAACAATCTACTTCACTAAAACTACATTCGAAGTTGTTGAAGCTAATAGTTATTTGAAAAAGAATGATTTACATTAATTAGATTGATAACAAACAGTTAAGAGAAAGAAATTATCATTAGACATCTTGAGAAGATCTTGAATCGATTGATTTTAGACCAAACATTGAAAACCTGGAAGTATTGTACGGTCTTTTCGTCCTATTGTGCGAATCCTCAGCGGTGCGCATCTACAATCTCGCTCGTGGGATTCGAACTCATGTGCTAACTAGTGAATAGCTTCGTGAGAGAATTATCGGAGTTATAATGAGAAGCAGTGACTAGTGGAGCTAATCCATGTCGGGTAGAGATAAATATCTACCTCAGTACAATGGAAGATGGTCGCGCAATTTCGTGTATTGGTTGAAGTTAGACATTGACAGTGTTAGATGCCGGCTCAGTGATCTAGTGATTAAGCGCTCACGCGCAAGACTGATAGGTTCCAGGTTCAAATCTCGCGACGGGTGGTATCGTAAATACACACTGCTGAGGAGTTCTACACTAAGACAAAACGGCCTTTCAATACTTTCAGGTTTTCCATGGTGGTCTAGCTTCAATTGATTAGTGAATTCAACTATTAAAAAGGTTAGAATTAATCTTTATTCTTATCTGCTTATAGTTTAGTTTGATTATATTTTCATTCTATTATCTTTCAATGTTTATTAAACGAACGAGTCAATTAAATTCATTTACTTAAACATTAAAACAAAAGATTTACAAAACCTTTTAAATCTTTTCCATTGTTTTATCCTGAACATATGACAATTGGATTATGTATTCTTTGTTGTGTAACAACAAATACTACTCGTACTACGACTACTACTACCACTACTGCCACTATTACTAAGATTACTACTACTACAAGCACTACTACTACTACTGTGGTGCGTGCTACTTATATTGATATAAGTAGTATATGACGCGAGTCGGGAATGTAATGTCTTATAGTATAGTATTATAGTACAGTTTTTCTATTTTACCAAGTAACTCTGCAATTTTGTGCTAACTATAATTCGATTGTCCCCACCCGTGTTCTGTTCACTACATTTCGTGTCGCTGCTGATCAGGAGAGCAGAAGGGTGTTGTTCTGCGGATGCCTTTGCGGGCCTGGAGCTGAGGTGCTAGTTGGGGCAGTCTGGTGCAGGGAGGTATCGTCGAGCAGAGTGCTCTGGCGGTGCGGCGTTGACTGTGGTGGGTGCCGTCGACGGAGAAAAGCGGCGGGACGTGCGGCTGCTTGGCGGATGCAGATGGATCAGCTAGGCCGGTGTTAAGCGTCCCAGGTGCCGGGTGGATTTCGCATGTTGTTGCCCCGGCAGGTCGACGAAGCTATGGAGGTCGGTGCGCCGCAGACTCGATATTTTGATGGAAAGCGTAGCACAGACTTCAGAGACGAAGAATGTGGCACGGCGAGCATGAACCACCACAAGAACGACTGCTTTAAAGGGAGGACGAGTGTGGTGCGTGCTGCTTATATTGATATAAGTAGTATATGACGCGAGTCAGGAATGTAATGCTTTGCAGCAGAAGATGTGGAAGATCAAGAAAGGAAGAGCGGGAATAGAAAGCAATTAGTATGGAAATGCAAGAACAACGAAGTTCCAGACAATTAAGTATTATTGTATGGTTTTTCTATTTTACCAAGTAACTGTAATGTTGTATATAGTGTAATCCGGTTGTCGTTACCTGTGCTCTCCTTCACTACACTACGACTATCACTACTACTACGACTACTAATACAACTACCACTACGACTATCACTAGTTCTACTACTGCTAGTACAACTACCACTACTACTAATGTCTTCCTTATTCATTTTTACCCATTTCACATAAGATTTGTCTTAACTATTCTCAATAGTTATACGTATTTTGACTACAGTTTCATTCAATCGATTTTCAATGTTTTTCAGATGTTTGTTGTTCTATTTTTGTTTGCTTTTTTGATTCATCTAAATATGATTAATATTACTCCTTCCTGATTCAATATAACTAGTTAAGAATATACAAATATATTTTAGATTCATATTCATAATAAGAAGTTTTTGACAGTAATTTTTATGATATAAATTGTTGTCAGTTTAGTAACTAGTGAAAAATAGAAAGAAAAAAATAATAAAGAAAAGGTATATACAACTTCATTTGGTATTGTTTTGCTTGCATATGTGCATACAGTAGCTGAGTGGATAACGCGATGGCGTTTGAAACGAATGGTACTGAGTTCAAGTCCCAGAGTGAATATCAACTGTGGGATGCAGGGATATCCAGCTGACGAGTCCCAAATAGGACGAAATGCACGTCCTGGATTCTCCGTATGGTTAAGCAAAGGTGTAGTCAAAACGGTTAACAGCTCCATTTTAGACCATCTAGTTCAGATAGAGCATACAGCCAACATGGAGCAATCTTTTGCAATCATCTATCGTGTTAACAGCAGTCTATCTTGTTCCGTCATACTGTGAATCCTACAGACGGCCGAAGCATTTGCTGTTCGGATCAAAAAGCCAGAGCTTTACATCCAAAAGAAATATGTTCAGCCACTCCTTTTGTCATGGCCAACTTTGGGGCCAACTAGTTAATAATCAATTTCAGAGTATGGTGAAGTAATTTGATTAATGTTCATTTTATGTCCCAAACTTATCTTACTATTATTATTATCATTATACTTGATAAACTTTTTGAGGAGTTGATTCAGTATCTACCTCTAAATCTACTATATCTGACCTAATTCATATTATTCTACATATTACGTAATCTCTGATTTCTATTCCATTACTCTCTCTCCCATCCCATGTTGACCATATTTATTCTGATCATTTATCGCACAATTTCATTTCACTTATAAACTGATTCGAATTAACAGGTTCATATTGGTCAACCCCAACATTAACGATTTGACTTGATAACAAACAACAAGACTGATAGGTCCTGGGTTCGAATTCCGCGGGGTTCGGGATCGTTGATGCGTACTGCTGAAAAGTCCCATACTAGAACGAAACTGCCATCCAGTGCTTCTTCGTTCATACAATTGTATTTTTGTATTGTTCGGCTTGTATCTTCCCACTGACATTTAGGACTACAATTGATCAGTCTCTTATTGGCATATGTGCATCCTGTGCGGATTCTTTCGAAAATTACCAGTAAGTCATAAGCATTATAAGCAAAGTATGATGGTGGTTAGTAGCAAAATGTAGGACTCGCGTTTCGTCCTATTTCAGACTGGTCAGCTAGATGTACCTACTTCCTAAAGTTGATGTTTACTCCGAAATCCAAACCCAATACCGTTCACTTCAAAAAGTTAAGTGGATAAAATAATGGTACATTCATATTCCTGTACTCTTAACTATTATCTACTATCAAATGTATACAAAATCGATTGTAATACACAATAATAAGCATAATATTGTAAAATAGAATTTGCTATATGAATAGTTTAGAGTTTAAGAGTTCTCTCACGAAACCAAAGGTTCTAGGTTCGAGTCCCTTTGTTACGGTATTGTGAATGTGCATTGTTATCAACAATATGTATTTATAATTTTTATGAAACTGATTCTCCCTAATGTACTTGATGCAAACACTACACTATGTAAAGTTACTTAGATTAGGGATCAAATTACATTTTGATCGATAGAATTTGATGAGTACTTAAAAGAACTTGGTACTAATAATATTGATCACTAAGTAATGATCAATCCGTTGTAACTAATCCACGCGAAAAAAATAAGAGAGAAGAAAAGATGATACAATGACGAAATAGAAAGAAAAAAACAGGAGAAGAACCATACAATCGTTGATTATTCAACGGATAAGAATGACTACTGAGCTAACCGGGGCCCGCGACCGACCTCTTGTAGGACTGAAATGTAATCACAATTGATTGATCACTGGATGGTGATCAATGTCATGTGTGTCAAGTCCGTATTTAGTGCAGATCGAATGCTATCGATCATGTTGTAATGTGGCCATCAGTCTAGGTGAGTCAATATATAGTGCACCACCTAATGATCAATCAATTGTGGACAAGAATCATATTTGGATTCAGTTGATAGATATGATTTAATCATAATGGAAGAAAAAGTAAATGATTGTTGAAATAATGAAACATAAAATATATGAACGAGATTTTCTTATATACAAATGATAATACAGTAGTTTAGAGGTTAAGCTATCACGTACAAGATCGATAGATCCTGAGTTTGAATCTTGTGGAGTGAGATCGTGAATTTGAACTACTGAGGAATCATATATTAGGATGAGACAGTTGTTCAATGATTTCAGGTTTTCCATGGTGATTTAGATTGAATGAACTTATGAATACTTAGTTTCAATCATATAACATCGTTAATATTATGTTATTCAATGTTCTGGAATATTCTTTCGTAAAGACAATGATGATTTATTGTATTATTAGTGATATTCAAGAAAATCTGAAACCCAAGCATCAAATGATTCATCTTCCTCTTTACTATTTGTATTCAATACCATAAATAACATTACATAACTACCAACTAACTCCACTTGGAGTCCCTCTGGGGTTACTGCCGGTCCCAAGCCCAGATAAAAGAAGGAGGGTTGAGCATGAGGTTAGTGACCCCATCCCATAGAAAACTAACTCGTTAAAAAAACACTAACCAGGAAATAGTAATTCAAACCATTTAAACTCTACTCTAGAAAGAAGAGTTATGACTTCTCATGACGAAAGACGGATTTCTTCGAAAGTCACGAGGCTAACCCTTCTTCTGACAATGAGAGTAATTATTAATTTAGGTACATGAAATGTTAGTATAATATGGAAGATCGGGAGAGTAAGCCAAGTAAGTAACTATTAATTGACAAACTTTGTTTACATATATTACATGGTTTTTTTCTAATGGTTAAGATCATGAGTCAATTGAAGCTAAACCACCATGGAAAACCTTAAAGCACCGGATGGCCGTTTTCCCCTATTCTGGGACTCTTCAGCAGTACGCATCCATGATCTCGCCTCTCAAGATTCGAACCCAGGACCTATGAGTCTCACGCGCGAGCGCTTAACCTTTAGACTCTTTTGATATTATTAAACATACGCTCACTAATGTCTGGCTTCAAGAGGTATTTCTTGAAGTTCTAGTGAGAAGCAGTGATCAGTGGAGTTCAACCAGGTCTGTTATGAGATAGTAACTCATTGAAGATAATAATGGACGGAGGTGAAATTTCGTGGATAGATTGAACTTGAACATTAACACCGTTGAATTTCAGCTCAATGGTCTATAGGTTAAACGTCCGCGTGTGAGACCGATAGGTTTTGAGTTCGAATATCATGAGTCGGAATCGTGGATACGCATTGATGAGGTGTCTCACAATAGGCCATCAAACGGCCATCAAACAATGCTTCCAGGTTTTCCATAGTGATCTAGCTTCAATTGTCTCATGATCTTAACTATTAAAATTACTGTGAATATCTACACAAACCCTTTTGCTGAAATATACCATATGTGTTTAAATGGAATTGAAAGAAGAAAACTAAACAGAACATTTAACTGTAATAAAATTTCAAATTACCTCATTGGATTAATATTGCATAATCTAATTATCCCATTTGATTCCATTAATGTTGTATTATCACTATGTATTATATCATCCTGATACTGTTGGTGCTGTTGCTGATGCTGATGCTGGTGCTGCTGCTCATGATGACGATGATGATAATGATGATAATGATGATGATCTTCATTATTCATATTGTGTTTATTTAAATAGGAATTTTGTAAATAGTCAATGAATCCATTCATATGATGATTATCATCAATGAATAAATGATAAGCTTTTAACCATTCGAATGTACGATATAATAGTAAAGTTAAACATAAGATAAATGATATGAAATGAAATAACCTGAAATAGAAAATAGAAAATCAAGATATATATATATATATATATCTTGTATTCATATGACAAGTAAGCATAATTCTATTGTATAGAGTTGGACTTGGAATCCTGAATTGAAACGGAAAAGAGGAAAATCAAAAAACACATTACGTCGTGAAATCAAAGCAGATATGAAAAGGATGAATAATGATTGGAAGGAGCTGGAAAGTATTGTCCAGGACAGGGTTGGATGGAGAATGTTGATGGGCGGCGGATGCTTCTTCGTGAGGAGTAACAGGCGTAAGTAAGTAAGTAAGAGTTGAAACTTCAAGAACTACTAAAAATTGAGAGGATAAAAAGCGAACGTCTAGCGCTTTAATTGGGTTGGTGGATATGGAGGATCTGCACTTATGGGAGTTTGAAAACCCTAATTCCAAACCAATGCTGTAAATGGGTTTCAGGATCCTAAAGGAATAAATGGAGTATGAACCAGTTACTGGTGAGATGATAGCAACCGATGGTTAGAGACCTTAAATGATATGGCTGAAAATCGTTTGTAATGGAACAGGTGAATCCACTCTTTGTGTTCTCCCAAATTCTAATATTCTGAATTCTTCATGTCCCTTCCTTTTTTTCCTCTTTCCAAATTTATTTCACTGGATTATACTCCTTGAATAACATCTTCAAACCCTTATGTTTTCGATTACTGTACTAATGTGGTTTGGCAACTCGAACTGGTGTACGCACGTACGTACGAAGTTCTACGTTGTTACTGACTGGCTGACTGACAATTATTGTTGACCGGCTTGTTATAATTTGTGGTTTGAATGCTTATTGTCTTGGCTCTTTTAATGCTACTTTTTGTATCTGGTCGTCGTTGATTGGTTGTATCGGAAACGCTGATCACTTATACTTGGAACGAGGGACCCCGGCAATTCCCATAACGCGAAAGCAAGAACACAAAGATTTATTAGCCTCAAAGCACTATGACGACGACGACTACCCTAGTCTAAAATACATTCATTTATATATTGATTGTACACCCATTTTAATTAATAATTAGGATTAGATCCCATACTCAGTTATAACAAATCACTTACTGAGCATAGTTCATGTCAATGGAATACAAGAATATCTCGTTTATTATACAGAAGAAAATATCATACTGGGATAACAGTAACAAATACTACACTGAATGATCCTGATGTTGAGTCAAAACGGATTTAATGTTGAATGAAACTCATAATGAGTAATTCAATCTAAAATTAACTTTTCTTTCCATCATATCACGACTACCATAGGATTGCGTCTCCTCGTGTCGCTCCACTACCTTGTGGATCAGACCTTTAGGTCGAAGGCTTCGAGTGCGGTCCCCTAAGGCAACCACCTGTTTCAGTCTGAGAACCCAGGTAGTATCACAGTCCACACACAAATCAAGTGACTTGTGTGGTGCTTATGTATTCGGTTCCTCTTTGTAACAGCTTACTCTTGGAGAGAGAAATCAAGCTTCCAATTGAAGAGGATTTTAGGAAATCGATATTAGAGATGGATAAGACGTATACTCTGGATATCATCAAACTGCTTCACTAGGCAAGCGCCTACTTGGAATCCTGAAGGGAAGCGGAAAAGAGGAAAACCAAAGAACGCATTGCGTCGTGAATTAGAAGCGAACATGAAAAGAATGAATAACAACTGGAAAGAACTGGAAAGGACTGGTCCATGACTGAGTTAGATGGCGAGTGTTGATGAGCAGCCTACACGTAAGTAAGATCAATTTACTTTTCAAAGAAACACAGTATACCAGAATACCATTGAAAACTAGATAGCACTGGACAACTATTCTGTCATAGTATGAAACTCCGACAATGACCAAGCATAGAAGAATTCCTGGTGAAGACCAACTATTGGTTAAAATTGGATTAATTAGATATGTTTGGTGACAAATTGTTTATTCTGGTTGGTGTTTTTATTTCTGTGTGATGAGGTTTTCAACCCCATGTCTAACTCTCCTTCTTTACCCGGGTTTGTGACTGGCAGTAGCCCTTAAACAGTAACAGGCGAAGTTAGATGGAGAATGATGGTGAGCGGCCTATGCTCCTCTATCAGAAGTAACAGGCATAAGTAAGTTTGATAACAAAACAGTAGTAGCTGAATTTTGTGACATATTTGAATGTCTACATTTGACGCTAGAATTTATGATATCATACAAGTAAGATAAATGTCTAAGCATTGACTATAGAATTCCGATTAAATAGTTTGCTGAAAACTTAACAAAACTCTTCCCATTGATATCTTCATTCATGTAACCACTAAGTGTACATTCATTTGGTATTGTTCATTTGAATCTTCCCATTGATGTTTAGGACTGCAATAGATCAATCTCTTATTGTCATATGTGCATGGTATACAGATTACTGTGATATTACCTTAAGTTACAAGTATTCTAAGCAAAGATGAATGGTGGCTAGTAGTGGAATGCAAGACACGCACTTCGTCCTATTTGGAACTCGTCATCTGGATGTTGAATGTATCATGCATCTGTAAAGTACTTTCTTCAAAAACTATGTCTAAATGATCGAAAAACAATGATTTTGTTCAAACAGACTCAACAAAACTGTAGACAATGGTAAGGCTATAAATTTGTTCAAATGGGAAGACAATCAATTAAACTATGATAGGACTAGTGTTGACAATTACTAGTCATATGAATTGTTAACAAAGCAACTATATGACATATATATGGAAATATTCTAATATCAATCACACTTCTATTTGAAGTTTGTCCTGACAGTGTTGCTTAGAAACCAACGAATGTTTCATGATTACGTAATCCGTCTTCGACAATACAATTTCAACAAAAATTATTCTTGTTTGATTGTTTTTTTATTGAGATCATAAACCGATTGATATTAGATCACTAATTGAATACCTAGAAGTATTGGACAGTCATTTCATCCTATTGTGGAACTCTACAACAGTGAGCATCCACGATCCTGCTCACAGGATTCAATGATGATCTAACATCAATCGGTTCATGATTTCAATCAAACAAACGAACAATTTGATAATCTCCCCCTACCCTCAATATATGATCGAACATCTAAAACAAAGTGTGAAATCATTTCATTGATTTAAGGAAGCACAAAAAAATAACACCCAACTTACCATTTCTTTGTTTTACCATAGCAACAAAAAGTTTTTTTCATTTTTCTCTTCTTTTAAATGAATCTAGTTGTACACTTAAATGGATAAGTAGACATTTCGGTGCTAAATTTAAGTCAACTCAATTACATCATTCATCTATTAGGATAAGATTTCATACATATAAATTATTATATTGAATATGATTTCATGTTGACGATTGAATTTGTTGCTAAGTGGTTTGAAATCTCTCTAGAATTTTAGACAGTAGTATCTAACTATATATACTACTGTCTATATATATATACAGAGATACATAAATAGTTATGATAAATAAATAAACCAATCAGAATAGTGTAATATAATCCCAATAAATAGAACAAAGTTACTTGTTGCTTTGATGACTTTCAGTCTGTCTTTTTTTCTTTCATATTGTCTCATTCTTTCTTGTTAAGTTGTCGTCTCCTTTTGTTTTGCTTTGTTTTGTTTTGGAGTTCATCATAGTCGAAGATAACCATCGACATCATCATCATCATCATCATTCGGGATTAAATGATTGAATGTGATAGTGTATTAAAACATTCCAAATGTTTATTTCATTTCATCAATGAAGAATTGATTAGAAGGGGGAAAAATATCATAAAAGAAAACGTGAATGAATGAAACAACTCGTTGGAAAGAAGGAAAATAAAGAATGAAGGTTTGAAGACTGAAAAGAGTAATCTTGAAGTGAGGTAAACAAACCAACCCGGGTAAAGCACTGGACGTTCGCTTTTCGTCCTCTCAATTTCGTAAGCAACACCCGTGGTGCGTAGGACTTCTGTGGCAGAGGCTATATACGCGTGACCATGTGAGAGCATTTCGAGAGGGAGAGCTGACTCTCCCCACTCTCGGCCGTACTAGGGCATTTAGGGATTGTCTGTTCAAGTGTAATATAAGTTCTAGCTGATGTAATTTTAGGTATTCTACTGATCGTCCTTACAATATCATTACCTTCCAAATGAAAAATGACAAAGTTTGATTTCTTGTTGATTGTAGCTACATTTGATTAATTTCTTCATGATTTTCATGTCTTGTAATTAATTGTATGCTACGATATACCTTGCCAAAACTTGATAACTTATAAGTTTCATGTTGTTTATTGTTAAACATAATAAACTTGCAATACCCTTTATTCGACAGCATTTTGGGTTTCTATCTATATTATACCCAGATGTTTATATTAATTGAGCATGAGTTCAAGGGAATTGCTCAGCTTAAAAAGCAAATCTCTATCAAGAACTAACATTTGGACATCAGTTTAACTCACAAGTTGATCGAAACTGGATGTCAACTCAATCATAAAATGGTTTAATGGTCACTGTGAAGTTTGAATTCTATAGATTTGATCCTTAGAAAAGTTATGGATGCTCACTGTTAAAGGCTCTTTACTAAGGTGAAACAATTATCTAGTTATTCATAACTTACAATAGTACAGTTAGTTTGATGCATTTTTGTATCAATCATTATTATTATTATTATTATTATTATTATTATTATTATTAATGGCTTTATTCAATATTATAATTTTGGTACAATATAGAATTCTCAGCACAGGGTATTTCAACAAGTTACTTACGCAACAACAAAAAAAAAGTAACGAATACAAAAAAAAATGAAAAAAACCCCGAAAAACTGTACAATTTTTCAAATTAGAAACATGTTAAGAATGCAGGTTATTGGCTAGGTTCACTCTAACAACCTGTTCGTCACAGAGTATATTTGCTAGGTGAGGTATTATAGAACTTTTATACTTTTGCTTGCGTGCATGGATTTTAATGTAATTACGTCTCGTTCTACCAGAAAATATACAAGGAGAAGGATAAGAGTGAAGAGGATGGCTAGTATCTGATAAAATGACACCTGCCAGGAGTTTGCATGATTTTAAATATCTATCCACAACCATATTAATTATGACCTCGAAAGATTCACCACACATCTTGCTAACTGCCTTCAGCACTCTCCGCAATACAGTAAAGTCTTTCCTCAAAAGCCCGGGAAAGAATAATGGAGAACAGTAAAGAATAATAGGTAATATGCAAGAATTGAAAAATTGTAAGAGTAAATGACGAGTAATCCCAAGGGCATGCAATCTCTTTATGTAGTAGGTCAGACGGAAAACCTTCTTTGATAACAATAAAACGTGGGAAGACCAAGACAGATCAGAGGAAAAGGTGACACCAAGATAATTGACTTTCGACTCTGTGTTTATCAAAGTGTCTCCGATGGTACAAGCATTGTGGGATCTCAAAATGCTGTTTAGATTCCGTTCATGTCTCATGCTAAAGTTAACAGCTTGACATTTAGACGGATTAAGTATGAGACCATTACCAACAGACCAACAATCAATACGAGACAAAAACTCATTCATTTCTATGGGATGTAAAGAGGAAGATATAGGCATACATACAGTGAGGTCATCCGCATACTTCACAAAAGTGTTTTCTGTGGAAGATGGCAGATCATGCAGAAAAAAAGAGAAAAGAAGAGGTGAAAGAACAGCTCCTTGTGGTACACCTTCATGAGACAACAGAGACTCTGAACACTTTCCTCCAAACACAGTGTACTGTTCCCTTCCACAGAGGTAGGAACATAGCCAGTTGTTTATCCAGCTGTTAGTGTTGACGTTGATTAACTTGTTAATTAAACGTTGTCTTGGTATAGAATCAAAAGCTGAAGTATGTTCAGAAAAGCACATCGAACATACTTCTGACCCTTTTCTAAGTTGAACACTATGTTGTGATGCAGAACAGCAACAGCATCTTAAGTGCTTCTTTTACGTCTGTAAGCAAACTGATATGGATCACCTGTAAGTTCTTTAAAGAATTTCCACATACTTCAAGAGATTTTGCAAGACAAGAGTTTTCGAGTAAACATACAATTCACATCCATTTATCAAGCTTAAGCAACTAGTAATACATAGTTGATACAATAACTATTGTAAAGAACTAATCAACCAGATCAAGGGATTCATGTCTATTTATATGATTAGCATAGTTGTATCAAGTATTTCAATTGCATTAACACAAATCAGTAAATTTTAATAAAATTTTCATACTACTATTTATGATTAAAGTAGCATAGAGAAGTAGAAAATCAAACTGCAATAAATAATTATACCCTGTATTGTATTACGTAACTCTTAAAATTCAATTCGATATTGAATGGTGTAAGACTAACAGAATTTCATGATATCTAGTAAGTAAACTTATGTACAGAAAGAAGATGAGAAGGGTAAACATTGTATTTCTTAGGTGGTTATTGTTAATTGACAGTCTTCTTACGCATTCTTCACTGTAAGGTTTCTTTAGATCTACCAACTATTTTAACAGTTTAATTCATCAGTCGATTTAAGCTAGACCACCATTGAAAACCTGGAAGTATCGGAAAACTGTTTCTTCCTAGTATGGGATGCTTCGGCAGTGCATATTCACGATCGCAAACACTGGGCTCGAACCCAAGACATTAGATCTCGCGTTTGAGACAGTTATCCACCTCAGACAATGGATGAAAGGTTGCGCAAGAACATGAATCGATTGAAGTTAGAAGTTAACACCACTGTGTGCCATTTCAATAGTCTAAAGGTTTAACAAAACTGAGGGTCTTGGGTTCGAGTCCCGCTTACGGTATCATGGATGCGCACTCCCGAGTAATCCCATACTAGAATGAAACGGTTATCCAGTACTTCCAAGTTTTCAGTGATGATCTAGCTTTGATCGAGTCATGAATTCAACGGTTAAAATTGTTACAATCTTCACAATTCCTCATTCTAGTATTAATTATTGTTAAGTTATTTACTGTTCATTAAGAAATTATCAGTTTCTTACAAATAGGTTACATAGTTTTGTATTAAAAAAATGCCTACTCATAAAGTTATTCATTGTTGTGGGTTACGATTTTATATTTCACTGGTCTTATTGAACTTACCCCTGTTACTCCTCATGGAGGATCATAGGCCACCCTTCAGCACTCTCTATCTAACCTTGTCCTGGTACGATTTAATATGAAATGGTGTGTAAATGAGAAGACACAACCCTTGAATGTTTGTACACTTAAACCTCATAGTGTTCGTTCAACTTTATTATCTACTGAATCTCGATAATATAATCATAAATGAAGAAGAAAAACGAGTAATGAATATATTTAATGTTTATTGGTTTAGTCTGATGTATTATATCCTATCTTGTTAGACGCTTTCAAGATATGTATTTGCTACATGAACATGTACAATTCCACAGCACAAATGACAGTTAAAATACGGTCTACCAATTTTACTATTTATTGGGTTCTAATTTGTGTATAAGTAATTACTTACTTACTTACTTACTTACTTACTTACTTACTTACTTACTTACTTACTTACTTACTTACTTACTTACTTACTTACTTACTTACTTACTTACTTACTTACTTACTACTTACTTACTTACTTACTTACTTACTTACTTACTTACTTACTTACTTACTTACTTACTTACTTACTTACTTACTTACTTACTTACTTACTTACTTACTTACTTACTTACTTACTTACTTACTTACTTACTTACTTACTTACTTACTTACTTACTTACTTACTTACTTACTTACTTACTTACTTACTTACTTACTTACTTACTTACTTACTTACTTACTTACTTACTTACTTACTTACTTACTTACTTACTTACTTACTTACTTACTTACTTACTTACTTACTTACTTACTTACTTACTTACTTACTTACTTACTTACTTACTTACTTACTTACTTACTTACTTACTTACTTACTTACTTACTTACTTACTTACTTACTTACTTACTTACTTACTTACTTACTTACTTACTTACTTACTTACTTACTTACTTACTTACTTACTTACTTACTTACTTACTTACTTACTTACTTACTTACTTACTTACTTACTTACTTACTTACTTACTTACTTACTTACTTACTTACTTACTTACTTACTTACTTACTTACTTACTTACTTACTTACTTACTTACTTACTTACTTACTTACTTACTTACTTACTTACTTACTTACTTACTTACTTACTTACTTACTTACTTACTTACTTACTTACTTACTTACTTACTTACTTACTTACTTACTTACTTACTTACTTACTTACTTACTTACTTACTTACTTACTTACTTACTTACTTACTTACTTACTTACTTACTTACTTACTTACTTACTTACTTACTTACTTACTTACTTACTTACTTACTTACTTACTTACTTACTTACTTACTTACTTACTTACTTACTTACTTACTTACTTACTTACTTACTTACTTACTTACTTACTTACTTACTTACTTACTTACTTACTTACTTACTTACTTACTTACTTACTTACTTACTTACTTACTTACTTACTTACTTACTTACTTACTTACTAACTTACTAGCCTACTAATGCCGAGACTGCTGGTACACCATACTACGTGTGAAACTCTTTAAAAATGTGTGCCTACAAACACGCCAAGAATCAGATTCGGGATGGTTAGGTCGTGCAGTGGAATTGACAAAGGTTCATATTTCTAATTTCAGTCAGTTTGTGATACATTGTATCGCCGATGAAGGCTGTCTCACATCCGACATGGCTGAATCATACAGGTAATTCTATTGGAACTGTGAAAACTAATCACAAAGTAAAATACCTAGATTATTTAAGCACTTTATCGAGAATTGTTCGAAGCTAGGAATGTAAACTGTCGGACTTTGAATCCAAGGTAAATCAATGAAAACTATGAATATTACTCATACATATTGGCCAGACACTATCAGCAATAAACTCCTGTGACAAAAACAAATCATCCTTCAATTGTAAAGAAAATCAATAGAAGATTCTGAATGTGAATAGAGCACAATTTACGGAAATTATCAAGCTAAATCACAAACCAAACTCTAACTTAGGTTCCTCAAGAGAAGGCAGGCCAAAAAAACATTATTTTGAAAGTTGAAGGCAGACAGTGAAAGAATTGAATAGAAGATGAAAATAAATGGAAAGAAGTGGTCATAACAGATTGAAGACTATCTCGTTTCAGCTTATACCTCAAGAGGAGTAATGAGTTTAATTATGTAAGTATGTACTTATACACAAATTAGAACCCAATAAAT